AGAGAAAATAATACCAAATCATGTTGGACACATGATATCAAAGGCTTTTAAAAAGACTGCTGTACAATTTCCTGTTGATGAGGCCTTTAACTTCTGATACATGACAGTACAATACTGTTAGTAGTATTCCTGGATGTGATTGACCAAATCTGATTACATTACAGCGTAAAATCCAACTTCGTTCCAAGAAACAAAATTCGTTGCTCATTATACTTTGCATCACACCAGAGCTTTAAATTCTTTAAGTGATATTTATTAAATATACATTTATTGACTTGTTTTCTGTGCAATCCCCTTCCTTGATGTGGGGAGGGACATGAAGAAATTTCCTCAAACATTTAATTCATTAACATCACCCTTTCCAGTGTCAAACAGACAAAATTTGAAATGTGTGCCAAGGAGTCTTAGCAAATCAATCCTAGTAACACTAAGGTATCATCTCATTTCAGGGCTGATACAGCTGCTGGTTCCAGTAAAACAAACTGCACCCAAAAAGTCACCTTACCGTAATCTTTGTTATAACAATGTATCGATTGAGTATAACCTATTTGCCCTATATAAATTACAGGTTGATCCTGGCAAGCTATTTTTATTATTACACTTCCACTGACTCTGAATATAAAAAAAACTAGTGGAAACATAATGTCAAGACATATTTTTCAACCTAGAGAACAATACTGTACTATCCAAGCTAATCTATGCACATGATTGGTTATTTTCTTATATTAATACAACAGTAGACTTTCCTCTAGAAAAACAGAAAGAATACTCTTGAGAGATCGTGGTCATAGACACACAACCATAAAAGTGTTCTTTCATTTATTCATCAGATCTCAAGCATGTATCCTTACATGTCAATACTGAACTAGAGTGTAGGTGTGGCATTTTGTAGGCGATTTTTTCAGCATTAGAAAACTTAAGTACCAGTATACTGTAACTACAAATTACAATACAGTATCCTCTTTGAAATGAAACAACATTTGAAGCCTTATAACTTTTCATTGACTAATGCAAACAGAGGAATATTCACACAGCTCACAGTCAGTATGCTTGAGTTTCTTTTGGTGTATGGGTACAGGTCATTAGGGTATGTTAACTTAGACATTCAACATGTATACCACTAATAGCACGGACTAAGTCATAACGGTACTCAGTTTCCCTCCTCACATTTTTTATCATCTCAGGGGTTGCGTCTACTCCTTCCTTTTTGTCTAGGTACCAGATCGCTGGCTGGGTAGAGACAGACTCGTTTTCTGGCCCCCGAGATCACCTGACCTTACTCCTCTCACTTTTTTTCTTTGGGGTTATGTGAAGTCCAAAGTGTACACCACAATGATACAGGACATTGTTCAGCTGAAAGAGTGTAACCCCTGGGATGTTAAAAATGTATGGAGGGAAACTGAGTGCCATTGTGACTTAGTCCATACTACTAATGGTACTCATGTTGAATGTCTATCCTAACATACCCTAATGACATGTACCCATACACCAAATGAAACTCAAGCATACTGACTGTGAGCTGTGTGAATATTCCTGTTTGCATTAGTCAATGAAAATTTACAAGGCTTCAAATGTTGTTTCAGTTCAATGTGGACACCTTGTATATTATGTATTTAAATTACTCTGGTTTTTGGAGCTTCTGTAACACTGGAACTCTTCTTCCTTACAGTTTTACCAGTAAGTCTGCAAACTATTTCATCAAGTATAAAGTACTTCTGACAACCATATTATCAGGTATGTTATACTGTAGTTCTGTAAACCAAATTAGGTAGAATACACTTTGAGTTTATATTCCCAAGCTTCAGGACCCCTACACTAATTTAAGTAAATTTTAAGAAATGTATGAGATGCATATACAGCAAGTTTTGTAAATTTTCGATCTCCATAAATTCACTGTTGACAAATTTTATACATTTCTGGTAAACTCTTTCACAGATTGAGCATACTGTATTCTCTTGTTAGATTTTACTTTAACTAATATGAAATTGTCATATAAAACTTTTGTAGCACTTCCTTAAGTTTCTTCAAAATTGAAAGGTTTTAATGCATTTCACAAAATTCAATTACTGTACCTATGCTAATATTTACAGCTTCTTGAGACTAGAAATTGTATATTAAGTGATGGATCCACGAATTTTGAATGGGAATTACTAAATTTTCACCACCCAACACTGATTAATGGGTATCTGAATTAGAGATTTAAGTGTAGTTAACACTTTTGTTCCATATATGATCAGGCGGTAATATTTTGAAGTTCATTGTCAAGTGAGTTTAGATTACTGTATTATTATTTTTTTAATCATCACACTCCAGTAATCCTCTAACGTATGGTGAAATGGATCCACCAATGTATAATAAATTAATAATGATAAATCCAGTGTTGTCCCATTAATATCTTGGGAGTTAGCACATGTTTTGTATCATAAAAGATGCATTTTTCATTGTGTTTGGACTCATATTTACTGTGCAATAATACTCAGCAAAGAGCATGATGTTCAGTGATTTCTAGGAAAGTATGTACAGTACTGCTAATGAATGATGCTGGTTTGTGTAGCATGAGAGATAAACCAGATTTGGGGTTGTGTCAAGGAAAGTGAGTAAAAGAATAGATAACATCTTTTATAGCAGTAAGGATGAAGGAAAAATGTGTGTTGTATTTGATCTTGTTTCGATCCACCTTGTTTTAACCACTTATGCTTACGTAATAAAATCGTCAGGCGTTGGCCAAATAAAATTTAAAAGTGGTGTCCCCATAGTGAAGAGGTTAAGCAAAAAATGAGAGCATAATGTGTTGTCTAATGGTAGACCCTGCTGTCATATGGCATCACAAAAATTGTGACCAAGTCCCGGATTGCTGATCTGACTTCCTGCCTCATTTACACACAATTACAGGGTCTCAATTGTTTCTCTTACTTTGGCAACACAGCATACATATACTGTATTGTTTCTCACTCTTAATCTTTTTTCTTTTCTTTTTTTATATTTATTATTATTATTGTTAATTTAATATTTGTTTATTTTTTATTTTATTATAAATTTTATTTATTATTAATTATAATTATTATTATTTATTAGTACCTGTAGTATTAGTACATGTACTGTATTAGTATTACATTCCTCCCCAGGCCCCAATGTAAGTCAGTGGGCTTATCCCAGTACAAAAAAAAAAAAAAGTGTTAGCCAAATATTACTGAAAACCTATCTAATTCTAAATTAGACCTGTGGATATTTTTTATTTCTTAATCTGAACCAAGCATTACAAATAGTTATGATGTTGCTCAATATCTTCTATCATCTGCTTACTGGAATTTGGCAAAACCAAACCATTCCATAAGGTACTGTATCACTTTATCTACAGCATACAGTAAGTACCGGGTACTCATTCCTTTTATCATTTTATTTTTTTTAGACAAGAATATGTTCAGAATTTAAAAAAATGTAAAACCCCAAACTGATCAACATTGTTCCTATTATTCTCTCATTGAGTTTTGACCAGAAATTGTAACAATGTTCTTGGTGATTAATAAGGGATAATCACAGAAGTGTGAAAATTATTTAACAATGCAAAAATGAATCTCATTAAAAATTTAATGAATGAATCACTGCTGATAGACCCTATTACAACTTAATGTTCGAGAGATTCAATGAAAATATTTAAGAGCTAATGCCTGCTGAAAGATTCACATAATCTCAATACAGTAATACCCTGCTTAATGCGGTTTCGCTTAGCGCGATTTCACGTATACGCGGTGCCTCGCCAGAGCCGAACTTTCACTTAACGCGGGTTTTTTCCACGTATACGCGCAGAGTGTCCGGCTCGAGACGCTATTTTTAGATTCGCCCCACCCGCCTGCCTGCCTGCTCTCGCCTCTCCCTCCTCCTCCCTCCCTCCCGCCTCCCTCCCGCCTGGGCAAGCCGAGCTGTAAGGTTGCGCAGTGTGTGTCTTCTACTAACGTAAGTGTTACACCTAACTTTTAGTTTTCCTAACCTAACCTTTATTTTTCCTAACTTGACCTTCATTTTTCCTAACCTAACCTCTTCTATATTACTTGTTTGTTCATACCATCATAAAGTTAAGATAAAATTTTTACTACAACATAGTTGTGTGTCGTCAAAAAGTGGAGTTTGGGGGTCGGGCCAGTTTCTATTGGAATTAATCCCATATGTTCTGTTGTTCACTTAGCGCGGTTTTCACTTAACACAGTACCCTGTGGGTTCTATTGACCGCGTTAAGCGGGGTACTACTGTATATGCATAAGTATTTTGTACATTTATCTGTTAACTTTTTGAGTTGTCTAGCAAGGTGTACTCTTGAGAGAACACATTGAAATGCAACTTTCTGTGCCTAAGAATTTGCAAACTTGACACATAAATGCACACGATACTCTTAATACAGTACAGTCCTGTACACAGCATCACTGTAAAAGCTGATATGCACCACATTTTGAGTAACATGGATGTAAGGTGTGTTTTTTTAATTTAAGCATACATTCACATTCTAATTAAAATTATCTTTATATTGTACCATTGTACCTGTTATTAGTGGATAACAGTTACGAAGAAAACCTTTTAACTATTATATTTGCCTCATACAAATACAAGGAGAGCGCCATGAACAAGGTAAATTTAACAATTGTATATATTAAATGTTCTGCAAAGACAATTTAATCACTCTGAAAAGCCTGGCTGATGAAAAATAAGAATTATGGAAATAAATGTGTTGGCATATTTGCAAAACAAAGAAAGGCAATCATGAGTCACATTTTGAATGTATAAAATTGACTGTATAGGCATAACAGGAAAGCTTCAAATCCTCCAAGCCACATATAATGCAATATCAGGTGACACCCAATATGACCATATGTAAGTTTCATTGTACAAATGCTGCTGTAGACCAATAGTTTTTATTCAGTGGGAAATTCAACATTTTCATATTTATGGGGAAATACTGGTACTGTACTGAACTTTTCTAATTTTCAAAGGTGAAATAAAAATGATGGAATTTGATGCATTCATGCAAAATATATTTGTACAAATCTGTGGATATTTTTCATTTCAATCTGACTCAAGTGTTACAAATAGTTGTGATTTTGCTCAATACCTTTTATCATCTTCTGAAATTTAATGTACAGTAGTACAGGTACTTCATAATTACTGGTAGGGTCAATCATTAGATTACAACATATAAAAAAAGTGTTACATCTTTAAATACTTATGTTTTCACTATGATACAACATCAATTCTCATTAAGATTTCAACAAAAAATTATAAGACAAAATTGGCTGTTGTAAAATTAATTGAATAATAATATCACTGGAATTTGTAATTCCTCATTTATTCACTTAAATTTGTACTGTATTATTCATAAATATATAAATGCAACAAGATACTACTTTGGCATGGCTAATGTAAATCTGTTTCTTGACTTGATTCGCAAGTCCACCTGATTTAGTTTCAGACAGCCAACATCACGCAAGCCATCTAGCTGAAAATTCTGCATGTTAATTTAACTTACTATAAAATTAAGGTAGTTCCCTTCAGCCTTTATTTACGTTAATACATTACACCAAAATTCACATAAAAATGTGAGGACTTATTTTCATAATGACCTCCAATATAATCTATCACAATACCATTGCCAGGCTTAGAACTTGAGTGGTTAGGACACCATGCCCTCTGATATGGGAATAATCCAAAATCATGACTACTTTCATTAGTTCCATATTCAGCTTATTAAAAAATAGATATCATTAAAATGATGTAGGAACAACCTGATGTCCATTAGAATCTCCAGAGTCAGGTCCAAACAAAGAGCACAATCCAATGTCTGTATCAGTATCATCAACACGAGGTTGTTTGGGACGAGGGTTTTTGAACATAGGTGGTAGATCATTCATATGGACTTCCTTCTTGAAAGCCTGTCCAACACTACGACCCACAATCTGAGAATAAATAATTTTATATTTTCAAAGCTAGGAAACCTATGCATTCCTTAAAAAATATGGAATATAAACCTTTCTAGAGGGGTAAAATCCAAACCCATGTCAGGATAATTTATTCAAGGGAACAAAGTTAAGACATTGAAGTAGATTTTAAACAAGAAAATATAATTCACAAATGCAGCAGAAGTAAACTAGGCAACACCATCATTGTTCCACTAAGTTTACTGGTTAAAAACTCGAGCAAATTCTTGAAATTAGTGGCTGAGAGTAACTCCTTAATTAGTGACAACTTTCCATCAAAACAAAGTCCCTAAAATGGCATTTAAGATGCCAATATGACCTCTCATCCAAGTCAGCCATACTAAAATTCTAAACATCAGCCATTCAGTTTCAATCAACTTTCTTTACATCAACTGGGATGAGGGAAGGCAGCCCACAGATGCTTAGTTTTTGGGTTCAGTCATAAAATGATGTTTCAGGAATAATCATTCATTTCTGCTGGCTTAATGGCCTCCATAAGGAACTTTTTGAAAAGGGAGCCAGAACTGAGCAATTTAGGATTTTTGTTAATTAGATAACCTTTCAAACTTAAAAAAATAAACACTTCACAAAGAAGCTACATTCATACCAGTCAACTGACTGCTGTACAGGAGTGCTTCAATTTATGTAACATTGATTTATGAAAATCATTTTTACAAAAATAAATTCATGGTATTTTCTGTAGCATCAGAGGATGCTCAGTTGCTGACACAGGCTATAGTTTACTGTACTGTAGTGCAGGCTAGTGTGTGGCAGTTTCTATGCTCATGTATTAATGGAAATTAAAAACTATGTTTTAATTGCATTTGTTTACATTGCTGGTGACAGGTTGCCAAATTAGACTCATCACTGTAGCTCTCACCCTGCTTGGTCTTAGCTCTGAGCTATTTTATTGTAATTTTTTAACTCATAATTTCAGGTAGATATACTGTACCTGTATATAATTGTCTTCACTTTTTTTAGTCTGTTACATGTACAAACATCTTTCACATGGAAAGTGCATAAAAAACACAAAAATAATTATCATAAAGCAAAAAACATGAAGAGAATAAAAAAAATTCCGTGCATGGGAATTAGCACACACATCGGGTGAGTGATGTGGGGATCTCAGCTGTTCGCAGTCTGCCGTGTCCCGCGTGTAGTGAGATGATTGCCAAATAGCAAAATGCAGTATTTTTTCTTTTATGTTCTTTATTCGTATTATTTTGATTAATTCCTCACATTTACTGTTGAATGAGGGTACAATACAGTAATACCATAAATGACCTCAAAGAAAGTGTTTTTCTTCTCCACGTCAAAAGCGTCACTGTGAAAACCACGCTGAACAGTAACTGTTTACTGAGTGCGTTGGCTGTGTCAGGTATGAAGCCAGCCAAGCTCCTTGAACTTTTGTGGAGTTTTTTTTTTTTGTTAAATGATATACTGTATATTTTGAAATTATTCATTTATTATTTATATGTAATATGAAGGTGCTAATGTATATTTATTTAAAAGTATGGCTAACAGACCACCAAATAAGAGGCATAAATTAATAACTGATCACCCCAAGCACCAACCACCTAAAGTTTTCCATAAATAGAATATATTCTACAATTTGATACTGTACTGTATTGTTTTATTAATGTTATTTTGAGTAATACATATGCTTAGAAGTATCGTCTCCCCCCCCCCCACAATTGCTTAAAAAGGTTTATTTTTACATTTGGGGGGAAAAATATTTTCATCGGAATGTTTCTCTCTTTAAATAATGGTATTCAATGGGAAAAATGGCTTCGATTTAGGAAAAATCAATATACGAAAAGTTTTTCAGGAACGTACCCCTGAAGCACTCCTGTGCCTCAAGACCTTTAAAATGTTATTGCAGTATATCCTTTTACAAAAAAATTTAGAACTGTCCTCAAAAACTTCCACATCATCTATAAGATGACGGTAAAGAACTTTATTCCTCAGAACATGCTGGACTATCTGAGCACTGATTCTGTCAGTATATACGAGTATGTCAACTCCAGACAATTACCAGATTAAAAACAGATCCAAAATCCAGACTGGAGTCAGAAGCAGATGCCTCTCCTCCACTCTGAGAAGTACACTATCAAGAGACTTTGTCATGAGATATAATGGTGTCAAATCTCCCCAGAATGACATTTGTAGACCCAGGAGAAATGGGTGTATCAGACCATTCTACGTGCTGTCAAGTACAGTATTCCATCATAAATCTGTCATTCAGATAGGTCAATGTAATGCAGTTCAAAGTGCTACAATCATGACTGACACTTCCATGCTATTCCTAGGGTGGAATAACCCCCATGTGTATAATACCCTAAATCTACAGGCTGTCGCACCTCTGGATTAAATCAAGCTTATCGTGTTAACTCATCTGAAAAATATTCAGTCCGAGAGATCAAATTTGTAAACGAAAAATTGGAAGACTATTTTCAAAATTATTCAAGTACATATTTACACCAAGATTATGGCCATTGTACATGCAGTGGAGGCATAAAAAATCCATATATATCAACAGTAATCTCTAGAAGCAATAAACTTAAAACATACCTCAATCACCAACTTCTTAAACACATCCTTCTTGATTTTCTCCACTTTGCTGTTCTTCACATTAGGATTTTGTGAAGGACTCTGCAGCTTCTCTTCAAAACGCTGGACATCATCAGCTGACACACCTGGGAGTCCTAGTAGTACCTGTTGAAGTTGTGAGAAGGTACAGTAATAAATACATTTAAATGAAAATGTTTACTTAAATACAGTAAAATAATTTATAACAGTGGCCAAAAGCAGAACATTTTAAGGTACCTCTCCCCTTGATTAAATAAAAAAAAATTTATTTCAACAAATCATAATATTTAAATGGCCACTACCCTAATACTGTACTAAAGAAGCAGTGTAATGTTTTCTCATAGCAGTACACTTACTGGAAACAAAGAGTCATCATTGGAACAGGTGATCCCTATGGACCTTAACCCTTTTGCTGCAATTCCTGCGCTTGCCATTCTATTCTGGCTACCGCCAGATGATTTTATTTTGGCTTAGGGTAACCTCCCATAGCCAAAGGGTTAAACCAGATAGCAATTTAAGTGGTTCAACAACTATGTATGAAGAACATAAGTATAAGTGTTGGTTGCAATACTCTCAACAGAGCATTATCTATTGATTGTGCGGACACCATTTGTTGCCAAACTGGTGAACAGAAAGATAGCACCATGACTATTAGATTGTAAATTTACACTGGCATTAAATTGAGATTTGTTGTTCTACTGTCAGTGTTTACCTGCAAAACCAAACACAGTATCATGGCTAACAGGACTTTTTGAGAAAATAATTCATATCCCTTGAAGTTTGAAATATTTGTTTGTATAAATAAAAATTTTACCTTCAAAATAGGCACAAAAATTGCACAAATTCAGAAGGTATACACAACATTGATAGTCTTCAAAACATTCTCCCTGTAAAAAAAAATGCAAACTAAATATTGGTGGATAAAACAAAAAAAATATTTAAACATACCTCTCTGATGTTGGGAAAATGAGGTCTAAACATCTCATATGTGGCCAATCCAAGTGAGAGAAGAGCACTCTGGTTAGCATCATGCTGACCATGTGTGTTAAGCCCCTGTAACACTGCAAGCATCACTTGTCTCACAGCCTCAGGACTCAAGTGTTGGCCCTCCCCAACAAGCCAACGTAGAACCTGACCCACCACTCCTACAGATTTCAAGCAAGCCCCACTGTCCTGCCACCACAACACTCTGAAAACACAAGAAATGCATCTGAAGAATAACAGTTTTCCTTAGGACTGGAAATAAATACGCTGAACTACTACTATACTACTACTGTATTTCTTATTTTGTTTTACAACCTTTCAGTTGAATTCTAAGTTATATTTCCATTTTCAATTATGTAATCAATTCAACTCATAATTCTCCATTAGTAACAAATTATTTTCCTTACATAAATACCCTTAATTTCTTTGTTTTACATTTGAGGCTCTGCCTTTCAAACCAGTCTTATCGGCACAAAACTTTAAATGTGGTTTACGGTATTAAATTGTAGATGAAAACACCTGGCATAAGCCAGTTGAGGAGCCAGAAGACCTTCATATAATAATGGGAAAAATATGGGGTGAATAATCTCAGATTAATGTAGAATGCAGAGTAGTTGCCAAGCTTATGCTCTGAGTCTGCCAGCCTATCATATAGGCTGGTGGCATGTGTGCATGTCACATGACCACACTCGGTCAATCACCATGACGCATCTCCCTGCTCTGCCCTTGTTTGGTAATATTTGTTGGAGTTTTTATACATACCTTCATTGTTATGCAGTGTTATAATTGCATTAATTATGGATCCAAATGTTAACCCAGGTACCTCAGGTTTTGTTTTACTTCACCATTGGTTGCAACAAAATGACCCTAGAACACAGGCCAAAGCTTTACAGAATCTTGGCTTGGCCTAGAAGTGCATGAATACAGTACGTACACACAAACACATGGGGCTATGAAGATTGGGCCACCCTATACAGTGAAATCTTAGTGCTTAAGTGTTAATGTTTGTATCATTGTTTTGGAATGATTATTATAAAATGTGTGACATCTGTTTATTCTTTAGTACAAAACACACTGAAATCTTTTTAAGTAGTATTAACGTTCATACTATTAAGCGATTTGGAATTAAAACTGTACAGTACTGCTAACAATCAATAAACGGAATCAGGGTCCAACAAAACTGAAGCCACAACTGATTGTTAAGTACCATTTTTCATATTTGAGGAGCTCAGAACTGAAGTAGGACAAGCACCGGTATGCCAGAAAACAATTTGTATGTCTTTCACTATAGCAATGTTAGCATTTCCACGCTAACTTGGCCCATAAGCCACGCCCATCTTCTATAAAAATAGCCGATTGGTTCATCGAAAATGTTTGTGAAGCAGTCCATCTATTCAAACTAAATATGTTCACAATTGATAAGGATGCAACTCATTTTTTCCATGATTTAATCAAAGCCTTTTAAGTCACACAAGCAAATCTCTCTAACCACTTGTGTTTATTTTGCGTAAGTCAAATAAACTATTAAAAGTTGTACCCCCATAGTGAAGGGGCTAATTATCTTTTCTGAAAACACTCTTTTGGTAACCATTTTGAATGGATACTTCATTAAAATTGTAATTTATTATATACATCCCAGATCAGAAGATTCTGTCAAGACTCACTTGAGAAGAGTGGTTACTATGGCTTGGCAGATGGTATCACATCCTAAAACTAGTTGACCTAATTCAGATAAAGTCTCCTGAGCAGATGTAACAGTAGGCATAGGCACCTCCATTTCTGCCTCCATACCATCAGCATTGTCCTGCCATCCTCCACGGGGACCTCCTATTAACACAACTTTTAATAACTGAAAAAGATGATATCACAATTATACATATATCATACAGTATTTCTATGAAACTTGTCCACCTTTTGCAACAAAAAGGAGTTTCAACATATGGTGGAAAGTATTACATAGATGAAAAGCACATGTTGCAATGATTCAGTTTGTATATTGGTTTGCTATTCATATTCATAAGCAAATCAATTTCCGATAATTCAAAGGAAATAAAAGTATTTTAACCTATTTGAAACTGAAAAGCCACTTACATCAACATATTCCCGAGTTAACATACGAATGAGCAGGTCTTCTAACATCTCCTGAGTGTCTGTGTTTTCCTCCTCATAAGAACCACTTTCTATTAAGCTCGTCAGGTGGCCCCATCGGGTGCTTAATCTTTCCAACACTGTAGGAAGTAAGTTATCTTAACAATTCTATCATTTCAACTACAGTAGCTGTATATTAAAAACTTAATGTCCTGAATAAAGATGGAGGACTGAAACATGATATCCCATTTTATATGTGGAAGGGACAAGTGACCTATGAAATACTTCCATTGAAACACCCACTGTGCGTGCTTACCATGGTTGAGGACTTCACATATTAGCCTTTTAGTAATGTTCTTATAGTTCAGTGGAAATATAGTGCAAAAAACCTAAGCCTGGTGGTTGTTTAAAAAGTCAGTCAGGCTTAGGTTCACAGAATTTAAACCTTTAAATAAGTTAAATCATATCCTAAAATGCCCAGCTATAAATATGCAAACTTAAAATCCCATCAGGGGAGGGAAATAAACCACTTGTCTCATTTTCTTGTCTATAAAATGAGATTTCATGCTTCGACTACACAACCCCTCCTTAGTAAAACATGTCATGCAATTGATTAAATACAAGGAGACAGATGTTCCCCCTGGTTAAAGTATCAACTCTTAAATCTTATCTCACTCTAATACACTCCCTAGAAAAATGGAGAACCCAGCTTGATGATGATGTATCCTCATATAGAACTTCTGACATTTACGAGATTTTACTGTATCCACTAACTAAATGTAAAATACATGAACTAATAATGGAAGCAGTTTGATGGCAGTAAATATGCTGCAGACAGTCAGTTCTTATATGGCATTAGACAATTTAAACGAACAGAATAATAATGCACCACCCTCGCCATCGCCACCTCCTGCCCCCCACCCAACTCGCGCAGTCCGCCAATACAACAAAATTCAGCCCATAAGAGCCCGCACCGATAGATATAAGAACAGCACCATCCCATCTATTGTTAAAATAATAAACAACTCCTGATTTATGTACTGTACAGCCCTGTAAATGTATTCAATGCATATTATATCATTATATGCTGATAACCACAAGGAAAGAAGAAAACACGAAGTTCCCAAGCGCTTTCATGTAATTCACATCTTCAGGGGTGAGTACAGACACCATGAATGGTACTCTAAAGTACAAATTTCAATATAATAAATTAAGACCACAAGAACTACAGATTTTTTTTTTCCCACCACTTATCAGCTTACTAGACGTCTAGGCACTCTATCCAGTGTTGGTACTGCAGGAAACTGGAGAACGGGAAACCTGTGATGTTTGTTAGGGTCACACTGGATAACACCCTTCTCACGTGTGTCCGGGCCAAGGCTCGAACCCTTGACATAATGGTGAGAGTTACGCATGTTATCTCTGTACCACCAACTCCCCTAATGATTTATGCAACAGAAACTGCTCATTAAAATTTGATTAAAAAAAGATATATTACATTCGATAAGCTTAACAACATAAGCTAGGAAATCCTACTCACTGTAAGGGCAGAGATGATTGAGGATGGGAAGCAACACTGCCTGGTAGCACTGAGGAGGACACCACTGGACGAATGGCTTGAGGAAGGTGCGGATGATGGGTCGTAGACGGTAATCAGGGATGAGATGCAAGTTTGCCAAGGAAGAATGTATCAGGTAATCGGATAGGTGCGGATGCTGGTAAAACTGCAATCCTAGGGACACTCCTGCATTGCCCAAGATGTGATAGCAATTGTCATGCATCATGGAGAGGAAAAACTGCATTCGCTCTAGAGGCTGCTGAACCTTGCAATTTAGAAAACATAGATATCAAGTTACAATCTTACCCCAAAAAATAAAATTTTTATAAATTTCCTCTTCCTACATTCATCAAACTGTTTACCTATCCGAGCAAGTCATTAGGCCTCATGAGAAAAATATCTACCTTACTCCAGCAATTTCTACATGCTGATTCATTTAACTACTGCATAAGAATAATTAAGGAAATAAGAGCAAAAGTACTTGGTCTTAAGAGTAATTTGTAAACCCTAATGCATACTAATAGCACCTTGATTATTATTGGTTAAAAATAAAACATTTAAGCTTATTACCTTGGGAGAGTCAATACAGGGATCCGCAACATTTGAAGTCGCAAGTCCTAATATATTGTTCTTCTCAGTTTCTGGAAGGTTATGGGCCTTGGCATACCCTGGTGAAACACTGGCCAATGCTTCAGTGTGCCAAAGACTATTGAAGAGTCGTAAAAGACAAAACAGTTGGTGGAAGAGGGGCATCACATGGGGTGTGGCAGGATTACGACACACTATCAATCCATTTTCTGTGCGTTCCAGGACAAATCCCCCATGTTCTGCCTTATCAGTGTCCGAGGGAAACTCTGATCGCTTTATCACAGCTAAAGTTAAATTAACACAGTATATTATTTGAGCTCTGTTTTGGCCATTAACATCATTCTCACTGGGCTCTACTGGAGCCTTATCCAGGCCTACAAATGACATGAAATCTAATGGGGAGCTAAATGGCTGCTTCATGTCAATCCAGATCACAGACACATGACTCAAAACTTTGCTAATAAAACAACTTTGTTTATCAAAATTATAAAAGTGATTGTTAATTATCATAAGAGCTTCATATAAAGTCACTTTTTCCATCTGTGAAAGTTCTAGTGGATTGTGACTCAAACTATCTACAACACCATTGATAAAGTCAAATGCTTCAAGAAGTATGTCTGGGTAGCCACGAGCAATCTTTACCATTAGGGAGCATCCATGGCGCCGTACATTTTTCACTGCTCTACTTCGCGAATCTTTGGTTTGTCCAGGCAAAGAGAAAGTTAAGGCAGAGAAGATCTTATTTAGAACATCTGGCAGTACAGTGGGTACAAGCCTTATGAAAACAAATAGACCTGAGATACAGGAAAGCAAGGTGGAAAGTATGAGTGGATCAGTTGTTTCGTAGGATAAACAGAGGCGCAACAGCTGTAGGCCACTTTCTGCTGTGGGTTTGCATCCATTACTCTGCATCACGCGACTCATTACACTCTCCACTACCTGATGGTAAAATTAAAAGATTTAAGAATATAATATAAAAAAGCAACTAAGATTAGTTTTAGTTTAACAAATTTATTGACAAAGCTTGGAGTACAGTTTGCCTATTCTGAGTAATTCAGTCAGGTCTTGACACTGATGGTGGTAAGACCTGACTGAGAAGAGATGAGGGAGGGTTTTCTCCACAAAAATAGACTAACCATGAAAATATTTGCAGTTCTTAATTTTCTTATCATAATACCCATTCTATATCTTCATTAACTCCCACTACTACAGACTCTACCTCCAGCAATTATTTTCTTTAAATAAAAGTGATCTGTGATGCTCTTAACCCTCTCACGTACACAAAATTTTTATGTTTCTGTGACCACAACTAAAGTCATATGGGTCCACTCACATGAAGTCTGGTCATCTTCATTTTGCAGCCAATCTATAACACTTCTTTTTTTCTTTGCATGATATACAGTATACATCACTGGCTTCATTATTGTTTTAACTTAAACATAACCAGAAAAAAATAAGATGAGAAAAAGAAATTTTTTTTTTTACTCCGAATAAAGAAAAAAAATGGTGTTCCCAGCATCTTATCTCGGTATTATCATACAGTAGTTATGAGAGGAATTTTATGAACTTTGCAACAGTGGCTTTAGAACTTTTATATGATTAATTGTGAGGAGGGTGGGAGAGGATATAAAGGAACCAACCAGCACGGCTGACAGGAGGTAACTGATGGACAGCGGAACTCCACCCACGTTTTGATACTTTCTGGAAACTTCACTTGCAAAATCATTCAGTCATCAATGGCGCACAAAAATTTTACACAATTATCTCGAAAACTTTTTTGTGGAGTGAATTTTTTTATTTTTAATGATGCAATTCCCATCACCTATGCACATAGTGCTACCCAATGATTTGTGATGTGCGAGAGGATTAAAAATCCTTTGTTATTCAATGATTACTGTACACAGAAATATAAAACAATAGACTGCAATATATTTTCTGAGGGAAATATAAAATCAGCACATTTGGCCAAGTATTATATGGAGGATAACAAAAGAAAAACTCTGTTAAACAACTGATGTCCAATTTACCTGAGATAATGCATCCCATTCCAGGTATGATGGTGAGAAGAGATTACAAAGCTGTTTTTCTGAGCAGCTGCCGGTGTCAATGGCCTTCTTAACGTGACGTATGAGCCACTCTTCTACATACGCGTACATGGTCTCCGGTGCCAGTAGCGAGGCAGACTTAATGATATCTAGGGTCTCAGCACGTACCTGGTAAAAAAAATTAAAAAAAATTTAGTCTTAAGGAATCATTTTATTCATTTCTTATTCTTAATGATTTCATTTTCAGTACATTAGTGCAATGTACCATATATGAACAAAAAGGATCAAATAAAAAATTACACTGCATTAAAAACAAATAATTATTCAGATACAAAATGATAATTATACAAGTATTCTGTCAAACATGCAAGGTCTGAGTCTTGAAAGCACTATGCTTCAATTTATATTCCCCATTCTACAAAATCCTACAAAGTGTCTGGAAAATATCTTGAAGTGTTCTCTTATAAGCATTCTTTGAGATTAATAATAACTTATACAAAAAGTCTTAAAGTCAAATGTCCAATCTATAGATTTTTTTACGATCTTCTCCTGAAAGCTTCTTTCAGTGCACCTTTCTTTACCCATCCCACAACTTCATATTTTGCACCCTATGTCATTCGAAATAACCTGTATACTTTACTATTTCTTACCTCTTCACTCTGGTAACCCCAGATGGAGCCCTCATTTAATTTATTACTATAACTTGAAATTTAGGGCAATCTACTCAATCCTAAGTCTATGCTTCAGCGTTCTATGTTAACAGAAGAAGTACAGCATAGCATTGTATCTAAGTTCCTACTTTACTTTGAAGCTTAGAATCCTTTCTCTGCTGATATTTCCCAGTTTCCTTCTCCCATGTCCTGTTCTCTCCCTATTTTTACCCACCATATCGATCTTATTTAACATCTTAACATATGTTACAAACCTTATAAAAAAAGTGTGAATATTCCTCGTCACTATCAAAGTCAAGACGTGAATACTGACAGCTCTCTGAATCATTCTTGGAGGGATATCCATGCTTCATCACCTGTGAATACACAAATTAAAATAACCATTCTCAAAAATAGATGACAAGATATGCAACAATCACTCACAAAAACCCGAGATACTCATCAGTTTAGTCCCTGCTGAGACAAACCAATTTAACATACCTTCCGAGACACAATTGTTATCAAAGATGGTAATATAGCTTGCAGTGTTTCACTCTTTGGAACATACTCATGACGGAATAACTGCCCCCAAAGGCCATTAGTAAAGTTGTAGATGTGGAGACTTGGGTGACGGGTGAAGGCCAACATTGCATCTAAATATACACGGAAGTTTGGGGGCTCATTTACACCAGCCTCTTTACCCCACAGTGCACACAGTTGGGAACCAAGGGCAGTCAGCACCTGTAACCAATTTTAAATCACATAAACAGACAGGGAAAAACAACAACAGAAATTAAAAGAATACAATGTTGTATGCACTGTTTCACTACTGAATAAATAATTGTTTCACTTAAAGGTCATACTATTCAACATTCTTGGGTGTTCATATACAGTATAAGTACAGAAAAAAGAATCAAGTGACTCTTTGAGTAAATCGTGCAGCTGATGGGTGATGCTAACAATCCAGAGAAAACAACAGATTATTCTAAGACAGAACTTCCACTTGATGAGTATCATTAATATGAATCCTTACCTGTGTGAGTGTTTTAAGAAATCTATAGTTGTGTTCACTAAGAGTACCCATCACTGCCTGATCAGCTGCATTAAACACAGCTGACATGAGTTCTTCTCCAAATAATAGCAACAAAGGACGTCGCTCATCAGGTTTGCCTTTGCGACTCACAATCTGTATAATATATACATGTACATATACAGGTATACCATTTAATGAAACAAAAACAAAAATACTTTCAAATTTATGTTATAAAGTTGATTTTATTCACCCATAACATCTTTGTACAGTATCATGATCATACAAGATACAACTCTTCTAAACAATTTACTGGCTCATGCATACTGGAATAAATACAGGGAAACCTCACTAATAATTCAAAATAAAATATTCCAAGATAAAAAATCTTACCTGCAAAAGGCACTCTGCGGCTTCCATTTTGAGATTATCCTGGCTGAGTAAGAAACACAGAGACTGTAAGAGTTTACCATTCTCTGAGAAGATGTACTGCATTGACACCCACTCAACATACACAGTCAATGTCATCAGCACCACCTGCAACAGAGAACATGGACATCAGTTCCACAACCCTCTAAGGAAAGCAAAAAAGGAAAGACAGGAGCATGATAGAACTGATTAATGCAACAGAGTACTGCATTACAACCCTAAAAAATAGATGCACATATACCATATTTTGACAAATATAAGCTGCACTATTTTTTCAAAAGAAAAAATGGCAAAAGTGAGGATGCGGCTTACTATAAGACACAAATTTTAATAACTAACCATATGTGTTACTGTTATTCGTTGTGCACTCTAGAACCACCTCTAACCAGTCCCCATCACCATTACTTCCTCACCCTAAGTCAAAATTACCATCATTACCATCATTGGTGAAACCCTCAAAGTAGTAATAAAACATGAAATCATTTGCCGATATTAACTTGACCATAATTGTTTTTTTTTTTTTTTTTTTCATAATAAAATGAGATTATTATACTTGTATGGTAGATTTAGGAGGGTAAATGTGTAAATTTCTGTATATTAGAAGATGAACATAGGTACATTTCCGTTATTGAAGTCTAGGAAGCGGACAGTTAGACAATTCCTATCATTTTAAGACATGTATCCTAATTTTATGCAATTGGAACACAGAGGAATTAGAAAAAGTTGTTGATTTACCACATACATTAAATAATATATCATCAAGCCTAGTGTTGACAGGTTTACAGGCATACCTTGTTACACAAATGATCGATATCCAAACTTTTGCTTATCGAAAAATTTTATTCTTACATCTTTTTTTTTACTTTCCAAAAGCGATATTCGCTTATGCGAAAAATTACCCCATTTAAAATTTAAATTTTGCACACCCAGGAGTCACCTGGGGTGGCCATCTCGAAGAGTTGCACAGGAATGTATTTTTACTCAGAGCATATCACCCCCCCTTCCCTCAGCTCACGTCTACTCATAGGCCATTCGCTTACTGTACTATTGAAGTGCAGTGCTCCCTCTATATGTAATGACATCCAAGCATTGTGATGATTCCTCGGCTACTCCCACCATTGACAAGAGACTCCATAAGCCTGTGATAATCGAAAACAAATTTGAAATAAACAAGCATCATGAACACGGGAAGGCCAAAGCAAGATCAGGAGAGACTTGCTTCTCATAAGATACTGTATACAGTCTCTCCTCGACTTAAGACAACCCGGACATACGACGGCCATGGTCGTATTAAATATTTTTCACATTACTTATTTTCGAGTCCCGACGTAAGTGATCGCGCTGTGTACTGACAAAACTTTCGTTTGTAATTCCCTTTAAAATGGCTGGCAAGCGTAAAAGTGAGATTTCTCGTGGTGCTGAGAAGAAAAAGAGACACCCATTTTAGAATTTCTATGTATTATTTTCGCCTTTTAGATTTACGACCTGGTCGTCGGGACGGAACCCCGTCGTATGTCGAGGAGAGACTGTACTGTACAGGCCCCCCCAAGTTCACAGATTTTTATTTTGCGATCCTCTATTATTCGCGGATGACACCCTGGATGTATCCAAGAATGTCTGTGGGTAGTTTTAAAGTTGCCGACATTTTTGTAGCTGGGACAGGGAGCCATTCGTTCTAAAGACAGTAATTTCCTTTACCTGTATTGTAAATATATGTGTGTGTGTGTGTAGATACACACACAAAAAAAAACATACAAATAAATAATAATGGGAAAATCCTCTCGCAAATAATCATAAACAAATTTATTAAAAATGTGGGTCTACCCTCAAGTCCGTGCTTTATTACTTTATTAATAAAGCAATGACTTGAGGGAAGACTGTCACATTTTTCATAAATTTGTTTCTGATTATTATTTGTGAGAGTATTTTCCCATTACAGTACTTGTATATTATTTATTTGTATGTGTTTTGTGTGTGTGTCTACACACACACACATATATACAATACAGGTAAAAGAAATAATTGTCCTAAAGGTAAACACATAAAAGGAATATACATTTCCTTGTACACAAGTAAAAATGTACCCCTCCCCCCCGGTTCACAAATCTTATTCGCATATTTGGCGATTCGCAGCCATTTTGAGAACCCAACCCCCGTGAATTTGGGGGGCCCCCTGTACTGTACAGTATACATATTTGATTTAATTTATAATTTTTTAGGTTCAATATTGTAGGGATTTTGTTGGTAATGAACCAAAATAATCTTTATGTATAACAGTGTGTTTTTTGTTATTTGTGAACAGATTTTTGTTTATATTTAGGTACAGGATAATGTTTTTGTTTTTTCGTTGAGGAACCGAATCCTATTTTCCCATTTATTTTGTTATTCGCTATCTGAAACTTCGATAACCACATAGTTTTCAAGGAACATAACCCCTTTGGGTAGTGAGGGATACCTGTATGTACTCCCATTAAAAGCACCAATATAATCTGAAAGAGACATCTAGCACACAAGGTTATGGCCCGGGCCATCAACTGTAAACTATAATAATTTGCATGTTCAAGCATTGTTCCTTCTTCTTTCAGTAATGAAAGCTTTTGTTAAACAACCCACCCACCCCATGTCTTTGTATGTAATAAGTCATTTTTGTCTAATGTATATTTTCAGCCTTCGGACTGCCGAACTTTTTCAATAAACCGTTAATTATTATTATTATTATTATTATGACAGGTGCCCATACAAAATTATGTAAAAGAAAATAATATTCAAATTACAGTATGACAAAAATTTTAATACCTTGAAAACTAATTTGCACTGTTGGACATGCTTTTCTCTCTCTGTAAATCATACCTGCATAACTCGGCAATGTTGATGTGCAGTCTGAGAATCTTGTTGGTTAATTTTGGTTTCATATTGCGTAAAATTCTCTTCCAACAGAGAAAGGAAGAACCCAAACATACTTTCCATATTAGCCGTCATTGCCTGATAAAGATCACGTCGCCGTTGGTTGGATTCTAGGTTCTGTTGCAAACAAATTTCAGTATCAACTTGTGGATATGGTTGGCATTTTCTGGTGTACAGTATATTGCTGCTAAAAGAACATAAGGGAATGAGGAATTTCAGTTTTGAATGAAAGCAAAATATAGAGTAAAGCATAAAACAATAAGCGATTGATAATTTTAAACTGCTTGAGAATGTGAGTCTTAACACCAGGTGGGCTATGTATGGCATTAACCGAAGATAGTACAATAATTAATACAATATTGGGCATGCATTTGCTCTTAAGGACACTGAATAATTATACAAAGTGCCTAAATACCAATAATGTCCTTCTCTTTCACCTGCAATGTAGCCACATCTTCAGCAATTCGCAAGAAAACAAACAATACTAATTCCGTTTGAGTGGGTCCACGTTTAGAAAGTAAATGTAGTTCTTCAAGGAGGCCAGGCCACTGCTGAGGCCATTCACGCTTCATCATCTCCACAACAAGTCGGGACACCTGAAACACAGCAACATTGTTGCAATAATGATTCTTGATAAATGGTCTTGTTTCTTAACAATTAATACATTTTTGGTGAAGAATTAGTGTGAAGTACAGCTTGGAGTTGACAGCCAATATTGAAGAAAATCACAGCAAAAATAGTGTATATTAGTGAAAATTGTAGCAGTAAAGTTTGAAAAAGGGAGATGTGTGGATCAACTGTTTGTAATAAAGAGCAGGAGTGACGAATTTCTAGACAGGCTTATACGGAAAATGAAGGTGAATTAAAATAAAGTGGGGAATCATCCTTGTGACAGAAGATAAAAGTTATGAAAAGTCAAAAGCATATTTTAAGAAAACTTAAGACTAGCAAAACTGATCTGAACTGCACAAGAGCTTCAAGAAACTACACATGAAGAATGGACAATCACCATAATGTAATGATTAACATATAAAAGTTCAACAAACCTTATCCTTAACATAAAGGTGTTCAGAGAGTAGATCTAATGTCCCTTCAGCTACCAACTGCATTGTACTCTCCTAAAGGGAATAAAGTATCAATAATCAGATAATAATAATTCAAAATATAAATACTAAAAGTATAATATTTTCTGTGATCATAGTGTAAATACTACAACCCGTAAATGAAACGAAACAACACAAGCATTGTCTTAACTACCGTAGTCTATTATGAACAAACAACGGAACTAACCTTAATGTAAACTTTTTGCTGGACGGATAGATCATTCCACTTATACTTTATAACATGTTCAAGCAACTGTAGTCCCAAATGGCGAACCACTGGCTCTTTGTCACGGTGAGCGAGGTGAAAGCCACATCCCACAGCCAACTCGCTCTCCTCCTTTACCTGTAGAAATAAGATGATTAATATAGTTTTTGACTCTTGCCAACTTTTAACCGGTGCAATACAAGATGGCCAAATTCAAATGCCCCATTGTGGGTTGATAACCTGTGCCCGAGTGGACTATTCCCCGTAAAAAAAAAAAATAAATAAATAAATAAATAAATAAAAATTGATGTAACAAAATTATTTTTGTATACAAGATGATATTGTGGCTGTTTTTGCATGAATTGTGTTTCAAGAGAAAACTGCCACAATATCATCTTGAATACAAAAATGTGCTGAAGTTGCTGTTTTTTCGTATGTATGGAAATGTATGAACAAAATGATCAGCACATAAACAATGAAGATGGCACGACCAGGAGACAGCATGTCAACATATACTATAGCTGCTGTATAGTGTTTGGGATGAAAATAATCACAATAATAACCGACAAACTGCCAAACCTCGTCCTTTTATGGGGTTTTCATGAGGTAAGAAAAAGTTAATTTTCTCTAGAAAAATTTCCTTACGTTCCTGGTTAACGTGCGATATACTATTATCAAGTATTATCTGACTTGGTTTGAAACCGCTATGGATACTGACTTACCTTCTCTAGGAGATTATATGATGCAAGCCTGACAGCATGTGTGACTTTAGGATCTAGGGTGGTGTTGACAGCCTGAGCTAGTTGACCTGCCACATCTATCACCTGCGGGGGAACCTCCATCCTGCCTTACTGCCGCCAAACAACTACCACACCCCATACAATCTGCAAAACAGACCAAAAGACAATATATTGTTATGATAGCACAGAGTGAGAGCTCATCCAAGACCAGACTTGGCCAACATTGACAGGTACAGATACAATGAGCCAGTATATGCCCAACACTTCCCAACAGTGAACAGGAGAGACATGACCCATCCCAATAAGTGGCAAAGAGGACTAAGTAAAGCAGAAATATCTGCTCTTTTTTTAAATGAACCAACCAATCCAAATCTTTTCAACCCAGATAGATAAATTTATTTGGGATTCAGTAAAATCATTATAGTCTAGATTGATACTGCATGTACCGTCACATAGTGCATTTTTTTCATACAATGGTAAATGGTGCTACTATAGCATGCGGTTTACAAATATATCTTAACCTAACCTAACCTAAATACCTAGTTGACCGCACACTTACCTAACATGCTTTAGGGTTTTTTTTACTTACTGATTTCAAAAGATAATTTTAATGATTTTCACTAAATAAAATCATAATGGCAAAACTGCCATCTCAGCAATTACTGTCGGCATAAAGGAATACCAGAGGAGTAGAGATTGATAAACTAGTAATCAATTTGACTTATCCAGAAAGGAAGTAGTATAAAACAATATAAATGTAATTAATTGATGCCCTAATCTTACCGCCAATTATTAAACTCAATATAAGAGAACATTTAATCTGGCATTTAAATTGTCCTATACTCTCTGGGTTTCAACACTACATTCGACACTCCATTTTAACTGCTGAACCATAAACAGCACAAGATTCCAGTGGAACTGTTTTAAAAATGTCATGACTGAGACACTTCCATAACGTTGTAATTATAGTACTGTGTATCAACGTATATTACGATTTTCAACACGTACAGAATGTGTTGATACTCGGCGACGGACCTCCAGTGAGGGTTCTGTATAAGCGATCATTGATCAATAGTAAACTATCGTATTGGTATAAGTGTCCAATAACCTCTTGTATGTCATACAGTAATATCATAATAGGCTCTATAATATCTTGTATGAAAACTGCAATATTGTTAATTACCTAAATTGAAAAGATTACAATTGTTTATACAATTCCAATAGGACATAAAATTCATCCGTTTAATATTTTACAGAATACTTCTTAACACCTTTTTAATATCATCATATTCCAGTTATTGATCATTATGTAAGTAAAATCGTTCAAGCAATTCTCACACACACATTCCCCTGTTGCTTAGAAGAGATTGTTAGGAATACAGTAATTATCGTGCACATACCTGTTGTTAGCCTGCTTGAACTGTCAACAAAACAAATCCGAGTGGCGGGTTATTTAAACTTTATATATATATATATATATATATATATATATATATATATATATATATATATATATATATATATATATATATATATTTTTTGCTATTTTTTATCAGCTTACTATACATTCGGCTAGTTGGTCTATCCATTGTTAGTACAGGAGGAAACTGGTTAATTCCCCTTCTCAAATGAGTCCGGGTGTAGGCTCGAACCCTTGATATGGTAGTGAGAGATACGCGCGTTACAGCTTTACCACCAATATCCCATCATCTCATTTTGTAATAAATAGTCTAATGTAGACTAAATGCAATAAATATAATAAATGTACTAGGGCCTGGTCATCAGGTCCATCTCAAGCATTTGGTCAGTTGCAGGGAAGTGAGGACAGAGTGGTTAAGAGAGGCAAATAACTTGTAATACCACAATACGGTCATACATCAAGTTCGGTAAAAATTAAATAAATAAAAAAATTACAGTATATATATATATATATATATATATATATATATATATATATATATATATATATATATATATATATATATATATATATTAACTTTAATTCATGCTGAAAACACCATAGATAGACCAAGATTTGTCCTCAGCCTATTTTCCTTCAAGATTAACCATCCTAAATCTGCCTGGAGAGGGGGGTAAAATTTCATAGTTAATCTTCAGGTGAAATAAGCTGGGGTTCGACCTTCGTTAGACTATCCTGTCTCAGTAATCTTTGGTTTGTTTTCCAGTCATTATAAGTATGAGCTTTGTATTGATAAAAGAAACCACTGGGAAAAAAAGTTCTGAAATTCAGTCATAAGTAACAAAAAAAAATTGTGGTGCTGCTTGCCTGCAGTCTACAAGATATTTAGGTTTGGTTAGGTCAAGTTAGGTAAAGTTAGGTAAGGTAAAGTTAGGCAAAATTAAGTTAGGTTTAGTCAGACTAGAAACATTAGGTCAGGTAAGGTTAGGTTAGGTTAGGTTAAGTTAGGTTAGATTAGGTTAAACTTGACTAAAGATATCTTTGTAGACCGCACGCTATAGTAGCACCAAAACTGTAATGATGTACGATTTGAAAAAATTTATTTTTTTTTTAGTGTGTTTATGAATACCAGTATCTCACATGTTGACAAAACCTGTGTTGTGTATACTTTAAGACATGTTACCTTACCTAGGCCAGGACAACGGGTCGTGAGCTCAATTCTCTTTTGACTGGACTTTAATTTGCGATTCTTATTTGATCTCACTTTGCTCACTAATGCATAAATATTAATTTGTTGCTTATATAGTGCTCACAGACAGCGGCCTATCCTAGTGTAGGTGTAGCTGCACCATACGCCATAGTTAACCAACCCTAGGCAAGGCTTTCGTCCTTCCCTCGACCATCCGCCTTCCAACTTCTTCTTTCAGTTTGAGCCTTTATGTGTAAACCTATTCGTCAGTGGCGTATATATGTTCATGGAAAGGGAGGGGGGCAAGTCTCATAAGTCTCAAGATAAAGTTATGTAAAAGGACTCCCTTTTTATTTTTCATTCACTCTTTTTAGCAAGCATATTTTATTTACATAACAGTTAAATAAGCAGATATACAGTAGGTTTAATTTGCAGTTGCATTTTTGGAAACTTATAAAACAAATTATACAGTGTACAGGCAATTGTATTCATAGAAAACCAAAGTTCCTTAACAAAAAATATACATACTTGTTAAAAGAAAATCTTTTTCTCTTCTAGCATTGTTGCAAAATTAAGTACTTGGCAATTGAGTTGATAGAGAGAGAGTACTAGTTTAAAAGGGAGAACAGTACTAGCTTACTTGTGGAGAGAAAGAGAGAGCGAGCACAGTGTCAGCTTATTTGTGAAGTTCAAAGTCAAGTAATCTGTTCTTGCGACCAAATTAATTGTTGACCTCATCGCAATTCAGTTTCATATCTTTGTGGACAAACAGTAAAATCCAATCAGTCTTTGTTCTGACATAATGGAACGCAGATACGACTTCAGATACTTAGGCAGCTGAATGAGCCTTCACTTCTAGCAGGTGTCACAGGAAGTGTTGCAAGAATATGAATCTGAGTTTACCTTAACTGCTCTCACACCCTTATGTAGAGGGTTTCCATCGTTCAAGAAATGGAGTTGCAAAGGAGTAATAGTGGTGAGAAAAAAGGTGGGCATGCCCGAGTGTCCCCCCTGCTATTCGTGGTGTATATGTATGTTATATACTGTACACTGTATAAGCTCGTATACTAGACGGTGGGGGTGAGAGTGAGGACAGTAGCTAGTGAGAGAGGTAGTGACCACTCCCAGGACACCTAACCTGGTCATCCACCCTCACCACCCCGTCCTCCCTCTCTTACCCGGACTTGACTCACGTAGTCTTGAGGTTAATGCTCTTTGACACTTTCGTAATATTTCTTTCGTGTAAAGAATTATTTACACTTTCAGGTTGCATTAACGTTACAGCGTAAGATTAAAGAAAAATTTTCTTAAATATTATTTTACTCTTTTCCAGTTGACATTTGTAGGCCGTGTTTAATGGTTCACGTGTCTGTGGCTTCAGGAAAAACTATTTTGATCCCGAATTAATAAATGGCGGTATTATTGCAAGAATAAACTTAAGATAAGCAGGATGCATATACTTCAGCTCAATTGTTTATAAAGACACACTTTTCAAAACTTATATCTAAATTGTAATATGTCGGTGCAGTTTAGAACGCAATTGAAGGTATTCTTGTCTCCATTTATCTCTCTTTTTAATAAATTTATCATCAAAACATAGAAGAAGAAATACGTGGATCTGCGTGTAGTGCCCGACTGTGTTGACCCCTGAGTCTGTGGGTACACCATATTCGCTAAATTCTTCACATTCCATTACTCATTTCGTAGAGTATATTGCTTTTAAGTAATATTAAGTTACTTTGTGATCTGATACATGACTATTTCTATATCGTTTTATTCACCATATGACTAAAGCACCTCAAATGTAATAAACGCGAAATTATCCTCAGCTAAATTAACTGCTCTTTACCCCAGCTTTCAATATGGCGTCGTTTGTAAACTGTTGACACACAGTGTCGACGTAGGAAGAGTGACTTTACCGAGTAATACCAAATGACGCATTGCGTTTCACTGCAGTAACAACGACCGACAGGTCAGTGGTAGCTAAGGTGCGCAGTCCTCCATGGTATAGGTCTCAACGTTACGTCAGACCAACCTCACGAGACAAGCTTGGGGAGTCATATATGTGAGTGATCTCATCTTTCATAACACAAGTTACACAGGAAAAGTATTAAGATGAGTGTGGTTAAATATATGTGATATAGCAGTGAAAATCGTGTTGTGATGCCATCACTACCCACAGTATGACCGTGGATCATTTGTGTGGGGCCGTACAAGTCACCAGCGAGGGAGTGTAAGTAATAGGTGTGAACCGGGTCAGCAGTGTGGGGTGCAGGTGCTCTCAGCTGACGTTTCTACCAGTGTGTCGGTGCTGTGTGGCGCTACCTCATTCTCCACCCTGGCCACTTGTTACTGGTGACCAAAACTGACTTGATGACTTAAACTAAAATCGTGCACCAAAATTGAGTCACAGGTGTGCCATGCAGGTGTTTTGCGGCTGACGGATCTTTGTTTTCATTTTACTAGGTGCTGATATTTTAATGTGTTGATATAAATTTAATTGATATCCATCCAGAAATTGTAAAGAAAAGCCAGAGAATACAATAAATAGTGTGTGTTACGAATAATTTCTTGAGAAAAAAGTTAGGTGTTTTAATATAAATATTTATTGACATTTATATATCGTTTTCTCAATAATACACGTGTGAGAAAATCAAATTAGAAACAATAAATAGCCTTTCTAAGTAAGAAAATTTATCTATGGAAAATGAATTACAATAGAGTTTGACAGTATGGTGTACTAATGCAGACGACTGTGTGTGTGTGTGTGACGTATTGATACCCACCATGAATTGGTCTATAAAGTTCAGTGACCTCAAAATTATTATTACTCTCATATTGGTGAGGGGTATTGGGCTTTCATCTTTATTCAGAGTTTTATCTTAATAGAGAAAGGTTTTCATATTACTATCCACCGTAATGTGTTATGAAAAGCAACAGTGAACTATTCATATGTATTTTGCTTTATTTTATTTCAATTTATTTAGTAAAGCACCATACGGCACAAGCATGCAAATATTAACATTACCAAGGATAACACAAAGTATTAGAAATATTTATTTCCTCAAGCAGGTGGTAAGTACTGTACCGACTAGTGTAAAGGGATTTTTTTACTTAGCTGTTAAAACTTGAATCATGATTGGATATGTCGAATTTTTTTTATTGCAATAAGTATTTTACGATATGATGATATGCGGTTCTGTGATTTGCGATACTGTGTTGCTTAGGGAGAACCGTCGTCGTGTATCTATAGTAAATGTGTGGAAGGAACAGGCTGTTTCATGTAACATTACATCAACCAGATCTCCGTTTGTGGAATTACTGTATGTTATATTCATATCGTCTAAAGTGTTAATTTTACAGTCACATGAGCTCGTTGAACTGGCAAGGACCATTTCAAAGGCGGACAAAATCTATGCACAAATATAGAGCAAATGCCTTTTACCTTTTGATGTGTGTGTGTGTGTGTGTGTGTGTGTGTGAACTAAGAAAACAATGGCAATACATTCTAGTTTGTCTGACAAGATATATACTTGTACTGATATTCCTGGGAGACAAATGGATACAATTGTACGGTAATGTTGGCGAAACCCAATAACTATCGCTCATTTGGCCTGAGCACCGCTAGCTGTCTGTGCCCATCAGCAGAAAAACAATGGCGGTGCAAGACAATTGGCAGCAGAAGGTAGTGATCCCAGGAAACGGGAAGACTGGCAGGGTGTGGAGCCGTACATCATGAGACTGGTGAAGGAGGAAGTGGTGGTGGGCCTGGTGGCGGACTTTCTCGAGGGGAATGACGGGTCGTGATGGGGGAAGGGGGCGTGGTCCTGGAGAGAAGGAGTTGGGGTGTCATCTCTGTTTTACTCTCCTGCCACGCAACTCTACTTTCTCCTCATTCTTGACTCTTGCTCGACTTCATTAAGTATTCGTTTACGTAGACAAGACTGATTTGAATATAGGACACAGTCAAGACCCGCTTGTGCGACCTGTCTATCAGTCAGGAGTAATGAATAAACTTTCTGTGCTCTTCCCGCTGGACTCTCATGAGTTTACTCTCGTCAGGTAATTACCCTCCCTCACCCTATACAGAGCTTTTGATAGATACGTAACCTTGGGTGAATACAGGACCTAGGACCGAAGACAGAATACATAATCTAACTACTGTAACACAAAAAGAACTTTACATGATGATTCACTTGTATCCTAACTTCATTTCAAGGTTTCGGGAGGTTAGAGTTATTGATGAATGTAGATAATATTACCTAAATCTTAGGGCTTTAAATGTTGACATTTACAGACAAAATTCCCTCCATATTTTTGGCAAGCATATGGCATCTACTTCAGGGTTATGTAGAAAGCAGGAATTGGGTTTTTGACATTTGTATATCCTGGTCTATCTTGATATTGTAGTTATTGTTATGTATTCATGCTGTTATTGACATATTCTACAATGAAAAGCGCGATTTGTTAGCTATAAACGGGTGGATCCAGGGGGTCCTGGGGATCTGGATCCCCCTTTTTCATCAGAAAATTCCAATACATTTCTTTAATGAAGTATTGTACTCAGGCGTTTTTTGTATAGTAAAAAGTAATTACTATTGACCTCAGAATATCTTTTAATATCTAGTGCACATGGCCTCAAAATGTCCAAACTATCGTCCCTGATAAATCAGTCATACATGTCCGACAAGTAGATGCTAGATATCACCAAATATGAAGGACGTTTTTGTCTGGAACATTATCATCAGGAGTTAGTAGGATAATTTTTGGTTTCGATTAATATGCCTAATACCGACCTTTTCGACCTTACGATAACTTCGTGTAAGGGATTTTTTATTTCAAGTATGGCTTAACACAGCCAAATTGTCACTTTCGTTTTATGCTGTATAATACAGTCTGTATTAACAAATTAATGGACACTGCTGTTCATGAGACATGCTTACTGATCTCAGATAATATAACCTTCACGAATTTTAGTAATTAAGGAGCCTTATCAGGGATTCAGAACTGTTAACGATGTTTTCAAGGTGTGTGTGTGCGCATGCGCTCGCTCGCTCGCAAAGAAGACGTTTATGTCAGTAGGCCTAAAAAAAAATATGCTTAACATTGAAACATATGCAATAATTTTTGTGTTTAGTGTAGACAGTACTTAAGTACGTTACAGCACCTTAATTTTTGCACCTAGAGACACGTTATAAATACCATTGGTTTTAAAAACAGTGCAGTACCAACCAACTTTGACCTTCTTTTTTACAACCATTTAACAAAGTTGGTTACGGACGTACCGGTATTTTTCTGTTGTTTGTTTAAGGCAGTGGTCCCCAACCTTTTGAAGGCTCTGGGCCACATTTGCCATTGATAATATATACAGTATATATATATATATATATATATATATATATATATATATATATATATATATATATATATATATATATATATATATATGTTTATTTATTTATTTATTTTTTTTATTATTATTATATATATATATATATATATATATATATATATATATATATATAATTTTTTTTCTTTTTTACACGGGGATTAGCCCACCCAGGCACAGGTCATTGACCCACATCGGGGCCTGGGGGGCGAAAATGTAATGCTAATAATAATAAGTAATAATAATAATAATAATATAGAACCATAAACAAATACAAAATGAAAAAAAAATCAAAAGTGAGGACTAATATATGTATGTTGTGCTGTCAATAGTCAGAGAAACAATTAAGACCCTGCAATTATGTGTAAATGAGGCAGAAAGTCAGATTAGCAACCTGGGACTTGGTCACAATTTTCGTGATGCCATGTGGCAGCAGGGTCTACCATTAGACAACACATTATGTTTCCAATATCTTCCCAAGCGGTAGTACCTCCCTGTTTGGTAGCTGCCTAATACCTACTACCTAGTAATAGTGAAGGGCGCCAAAACTTTGGATCTACATTCAAGACAAAAACCTCATATATTCAGTTATTTGCAGTTTTATAGAAGTCTACCTGTTTTACCAGTTACATACAGGTACTTACATTTACGCTTTGAGATTGGTTCTCTCTCTGTACCCGTCCTGTACACGACAAACGGCTGTTCCTCTCTCACTGAAGTATCAAGCTATTTCATTATTTTCATTGGCAAAGAATCCCTAATATTTTACAATTTCCTAATAAACCCTTGCGGGCTCTATAATATGGTCCCGCGAACTGTAGGTTGGGGACCACTGGTTTAAGGTCATGGGTGGTGGTAATTATGCAAATTGCGAGTTTTCCTCAGCAATGGCTCTTTCGATATAGGGGATACAAGCGCTTTCAATTTTGCTTAAAATAACAATATTCTCTCCCACTAGATGTGTAGTCACTAGTTAGTTCGTAAGTAGATTGTCTATCTTTTTAAAATTTTAATATTAAAGTATGAGAAGCTAGGGGAGAAAACGAACAATATAACAACATTGTTTATGTAACAGCGTAAAGAAACGCTAATAACAAGATTGGCAGAGGCAGTTATAAGATTAGTAAGGAGAGAAAAGAGGAGCAACAATTGTTATTCACAATAACAGTGGGGTTGAGAATGCGCAGTGCTGTTGCAACCAAGCAACGGCCCCCAAACTTCCCGCCATTAACTTGTTAACATGAACAGAGTCGGCGTTTTCCCGCGCTCCAGTTAACAATAACTCAATCACCTTCAATTATATTTTTCACAGTGCAGTTCACCTAAGAACTAATAATTTAAACTACTATATATTACAAGAATTATGGTTGCGTGAATATTTTACCATTACAAAGCAAAACGAAAATAGCGTTTGTTCTTAGGACTTCTCAAAGGTTACATAATATTGTAGATACACTATTTATAAATTACTACTACCGCTAGTGATAAATTAAAATATTTAATTTCAGAGGAAACCTTTGATCTATAATATACATATTAAACACTGTAATTAGTTTGTGTGTTTATTAGTTAAAAGACTTGTAGTGGGGCGTTGTCTACGTGCTATTTCCGTCTGAATTTATTTTGACAATCTTATCAAATTATTGGACTGCACTTTCTTAATCTCCCACTTTCAATAGAATATCTAAACCTGCAGTTGTTATAGGTAAGATTACAACTCACCCAGGTGGTTACAGTGGCTATTGAAGTCATAGATGAACTGCAACAACTGTTATAAATTGACATACGCCCGCTTTCAAAGAAGCATTTACGCACATGTAATCACAGACGCACCTACGCAAGCATGCACACAGACGCACTTAAGCAAGCATGCACTCTGTACTTTCGCAAACTAACATGCACTCACTTATTCATAGAGGCCATTTCGCAAGCATGTATTTACACAGGTACTCAAAGACACACTTACGCAAAGTGTACTCCCACACACAGCTTTCTACATGTGGAGAGGCTGTTCCCCTTCTCCACCACATCCTCCGTTCCCTCTTTCGTCAAGACCGCCACACGACGCTCGCGGTCTTTACGACGTTGTCTTCCTCTTGACTCCGTCCAACCCTCGGTGCTATCTTCCCCTCTTTCTTCTTTCTTTCGTCTATATCTATCTGCCTTCTTTACTCCACTCATCGGCATTTACCTCTACCCGAATTCATGACACGTACGAAGGGTGCTTTTAGTTTTTTAGATGAATGAATATTATGTAATTGATGTGGCAGGATATGTGTTACGGATTTATGTCATTACGCAAACACAAACCAAAGCACAAACGTAAAAAATATAATCCTATCCTGCCACAAGTGTGTGTGTGCGTGCTTGCATGTGCACTTTAATGATAGCATCCGATAATCTATATATAATAAATACAGTGTGTGTGTGTGTGTGTAATAATAATAATAATAATAATAATTAACGGTTTATTGAAAAAATTCTGCAGCCCGAAGGCTGAAAATATACATTGGACATAAATGACTTACTACATACATTGGTGGTTTAACAAAAGCCTTCATTAGAGAAAGGTAAAGGAACATACAGTGAACATACAGATTAATGTAGGTGTTGAACAGCAAACTCGTAGTGTAGTAACTCCCTCCCAGATGGTGTTAGGAGGGGCCTCACGTGGTGTAGAAATTACCTCACAGATGGTGTTATGAGGGACCTCACGTGGTGTAGTAACTCCCTCACAGATGGTGTTATGAGGGGCATCACGTGGTGTAGTAATTCCCTCACAGATGGTGTTATGAGGGGCCTGACGTGGTGTAGTAATTCCCTCACAGATGGTGTTATGAGGGACCTCACGTGGTGTAGTAATTCCCTCACAGATGGTGTGATGAGGGACTTGACGTGGTGTAGTAATTCCCTCACAGATGGTGTTATGAGGGACCTCACGTGGTGTAGTAATTCCCTCACAGATGGTGTGATGAGGGACTTGACGTGGTGTAGTAATTCCCTCACATATGGTGTTATGAGGGACATGTGGTGTAGTAGTGTGTGTGTGTGTGTGTGTACACAATTTTGAAGATAGAGAACTGAAATTGGGTAGTGAGGTGTGGGTGGCCAAGGGGATGATTGAGCACTATATCATGTCCCTCCATGACTAGTGAGTTCGATCATGACTCCCCATCCGAGTAACGATACAGTTTTGAAGATGGTAGAGGATGGTCTTGCACTATCTCTTTTCCCTCTACCCAGGGAAAGCCGGGTAACTAAAGTAGTTGATTAATAAAGCTGAATTTTATTATCTGATTCTACCCTCTTCTCATAACCTTCAATTCTCTCCTCCCATGTCACAGGTGTAGTGAGTGATGTGTTGTGGTGGTGTGGCTCACTTGTATGTTTTTGTGAAAGGCAGCGGTACTAATCAGGTTGTTCCCTCGGCAGGAGTGGTGGTCAGGCAGAGGTGGCAGGATGTGAGCGGCGCCCAGCGGCAGTACGATGGCCCAGGAGTTCCTCCCGCTCTGCGATGTGCTCTTCAACATCATCTCGTTGGCGTCCTACTTCTGTGATGTGGTGTTCGACGTGGTCACCATCTACACGCTGTACGATCAGCAGGAGGTGGTGTGGTTCACGCTGGCACTCTCCTGCGTCCTCCTCTCTCTCGTCGTGTGTCAGCTGTGCTCCCTCAAGTGGTACCTCTCCAGCCTCAGGAAGGACCTGGCCAAGAAGGACTGTGATCTGGGCCTCATGATCCTGCTCCATCTCTTCCAGGGAGGCGTTCTATGGCGCTATTTTAAGCTCTTTATCCCTGTGGATCTTCGCTATGTCAAGCATGAGGTTCGTGACCTCTGTATGTTGCGACTCATACATGCCTTCTGCGAGGCCGCCCCCATGTTGCTCATTCAGCTGTACCTCATCTGGCGCAAACCTGCGTTGTCTGACCTGACGGATCTCAACATAGTGTCAACAGCATTATCACTGTTCAGCGTATGTTGGGCCCTTGCCTCCTTCAACAAGAACGTTCGTCGACATAACGTTCACCGTCTGATACTGACGTGGTTGGGTGTGATATTCCAGTTCATCTGGCGTCTTGGGACCATTACCTCCCGCTCCCTGGCACTCACTGTTTATGCCACACTCTACGGGTATTGGGTTTTCCTCGTCATTGCCCTCCACTGGGTGTCTATGTTCCTCTGGCTTATCTCGCCTAAGAACGTCTTTCATGGTGAGAAAATGCCAATGTTCAAGAAGGTGATATTCTCCATGTTAATCGCTTTCTGTTACATATTCTGCTACATCAACCTACAAGAAATCAACGCCCGGCAGAAGATGGTGGCCTTCTACATCACTATGCTCCTGGAGAACGCCCTCTTGGTTGCAGTATGGCTGGGTGGCTTGAGAACCACTCCCTGGTATCAATACCCAGTCACGGCCCTCGTGTTCATTGCCTTCGGCTTCGGGGTGGTGTTCATGATCTTCTACTACCAGCACTTCCACGTAAAGAGACTCAAACACAACTACACCATGTCGTCCTCCATCAACACTTATTCATCATGTACAGGTACTTGTATACGCACTGATCGTTATACAACTTTTAAGGGATAAGCTTGTTCTATAGATGTTCATATTTTTTTGTGTACTACTGTACTTCGAGCCATACATTTTGCTTTTAAAGCAGTTATACTTCATTTTGCATTGATCACATTTATCAATATCAAAATTAATGTGCTGTAGATTATTTTTGGCAAATGTATGCAAACATTTACTGGGTACTCTTAATAAATATAATTTGAGAAGTGACATGACAGGTAAATATTTCTGTCATTTTATTAACTGTGAATTGAAAATCTTTGTTTATGGAATTATGGTACTTATATGGAATTATGTTCCGTTAGTATTTAGGTCTCTCAATCAACATAATTTTGGTATATTCGTAACAGGTTGCCAGTTGGGGCAGTGCACAGACAAGTCACATCGCATGCCATTCCCATACTACCTGAATGAGTTATCAGCAAGTGACAACAGCACCATTGCCTCCAACCCACAACAGAATGGCAATGCCAAGCCCAATAACCTGGAGACGAGTGAGGCACGGAATCAACAACAACCGCCCAACCACTACCCATCAGATGCCCTCCACGTTCCCGGTGTGTTTACCTGCCGCTTCAATCCTGGTATAAAGAGAAAGAAAAAGAAACCAACGAGTTTTGTGCCTCCTCCTGTACCCGTTCTTCCTTCTATAGGTGTGCCAAATAATAATGGCAGAATGGTGCCATTCTGGAAGCGACCTCTGCCACAGTCCTTGTCGAGTGATCACGAGGGTAGCGTAGGCTCCAGGGTCAACATTCAGCAGAAGTTACAGGAAAAGAAGCAGCAGCAGATAGCTGAGCTGCGGCAAATTGAAGAAGAGATTAAGGCTGGGAAGCTGAAGCGGCCTCACCCCAGTGATATCTCTGAATCTGGGACGCTTCGTCAGCCCATCCCACGAGCCAAGAAACAGCCATGGCTAAAACCAGAGCCACTAGATTATACATATCTGGTAGTGGAGCCCTCTGCGGCACCTGTGCCCGCCCCAGCCCACAGAAAGCACCGCTCTCAAACGCCAGAGATCCTGCTGGCACCACACTACCTGGACAACACCAGGATCTACTATGACTATCAAGATCCTCGCTGGAAGTATGGCAACAACTACCACCTCCCGTCTGATGACATGAGCGGCTCCAGCCATTCCAAACACTCCATAAAAAGACGCAACAGAAAGGCAGATAAAAATACAGACAATAGAGACAAAGTAATCTATAAGTCCTACAGAATACCATCTGATCTTGACAGTCAAATATCACTCCCAAGATCTTACACTCTGCCCAGGGAATTCAAATATTACAGAAGACCCAAATCAAGAAAAGCTGTTAGAACAGATCACTTCATGGCATCAACAAACTCCAGTGATGGTAAGTTTTATTCTCATTATTAACAAAGCGGTCTGTAGATATATCTTTTGCTAATCTCAATTGGTTACAAAATGCCATTTACTGGAGCTGTTGTATACTCCAGCAGACATGGTTGAGTTTTACATCCTTATTCCAAGATGCAGTCTTTGGCCAAATACTGGTGTTGAGATTAAGTACTTTCTGAGAATATCTTAAAATTATCTTGCACAAAAATGACAACAGTCACCTCAGTGTAGTCAATGTAAATAAAGCTGTAAGACGATTAGAATTATAGTATTTTCATCAGATTATGAAATGTGTAGTACAGTATTTAAGTTTCTCACAGAACATAGTTGTGGGATATAGTTCTTAACAATAGTTTCATTTTTTGAGCAGGTGTATAATGCTAATTGTAAGATGCACAAATTACAAATGAATATTTTGCACTATTTTTTGTAATGCTGTTGATGGGACAAATGGATGGTACATGTCCTCTTGCTTCACAGGTGATGTTGATTCCTGTGATGAGGGAGACCTGGAGGAGTCCTTCAGCCGACTCAACAATGCTGTCCATTTTCATCTTAACCACAATCACCACCATCACTACCACCACCACAGCTTCCTCCATAACCACCACACCAACCACGTCGCCGAGTCTCCTCCACATCCACAACACCCACTTCGGGCACGCATCCACGCAGCCTTCCATCGTAACTTGGCCAACACCCATGAAACCAAGTTGTGAGGAGCATTTTTTGGTGACTGTAACCTGATTACCTGTCCAAGGAAACATTTTTAAAACTCCACTTAGCTGTAATGTCTCGAAAAACATTAACAGTATCCCTCTCCTAGCAGTGTGAAGTTCAGGGAAACATTAACTTCATGGAGACAATTATTGAAGGTGAACTCAAGAAAATACTGTACAGTGAAAAATGTAAACAATACTCAGTGGATCATTGGAACCAATCCGAGTAGTGTTTATTATGACAAGAAAAATATTCAGTTAAGCAGATTCATGAAGAAGACTGCTGAAGTATATATAGGTATAATGTACATAATAAGTCTATTAATGAACTCATCTGCTACAGTTTACCTATAAAAATACTGAAACAAGAAAGTGCACTCTGAACTTTATCAATTAGAAATTCCACTTACAAATTCCAAAGATACAAATACAGGCCTTGATTAGGAATGTGTTCTTTATTCTTGACTGAGAAACGTGCAATACTGTCAGTGAACCTGGAGATTATAATTCTTAACATCTGAAGTGTTTTAATACTTGTGTGCCAAAATTTTCCTCTGCCAAAATGTTTGTTGTTTATAATTTATTTATAAATATATTTTTATGTATTGCTTTTTAAATACATTTACTTTATATTGCAGCTGTGTAGTAATCTGTAAGAATAATAGGAGCATGAATGGATGCAGTGGTATTCAACTCTGAAGTCTTATAGTTTGGAACAATTCCTACAAATGTGCTGTAGAGATCTGACTTGATACTCATTGCTCTTGTGACAAAGGATCCATTCTACAGACACAGTCCCTATGACTCAGTGGTCTTCTCATCCTTCCAGAGGACCTTCTGAAGATCCTTCTACAAATACTGTACCTTTCCCAGGTCTCCAAGAAGGGTCCTTTCAGGGGTTTTCAGATTCATACAGAGGTCTCGGATTTCTCTGCAGGCTTTGATTTTTGTAAGGTCTTTTCTGGAACTGAAGACTTTCCAAGGTCCCTTGGTCCTCTCAAAGGTTCCTAGACACGTTTAAAAGTTCCCAGATCTTTTAATGGCTAAGTAGGCCTTTTGAAAGGGTTATTTAAGGCTCAAAGAGATTTCCAAATACTTTCAAGAGTCATCAAATTCATCTATACAGGATTTTAGATTCATTCACAGGTGCCTAGGTCCTTTGAGAAATTCCAAAGTCATTATAGGACTCCTCAGACACTTATGAAGGTACTTCAAGGGGTTCCATAGCTCATCTAGATGAATTCATACCATTCTAGAGATCCGCAGGTTCTAGAGGTAATAAGACTTTCTAGAGACCCCGACCTAAGTTTGTCTCCTGTCGTCACACCCACACTAGTCCTCGCATGTTGTCCTTCATTATAAGATTGTTTTCCTTTATTGTCGAAATATTGTTTGGAAATTGTGCTCACAATATGACTATATGCCATATCTCTTCATGGGTTTATGTTCATGTTAGATTTTATTGATAGAGAGTAACTATTGCCATAAAGACGTTGGTTATATTAATACTCCCGCTCAGGCCAGGAAATATACGAGATATTTTCCATGCTCATAAGATTGCAACCTGATTTTTCTAACCAAGTTGGCGAGATTTTATTGTCAGGTGTTGCATTTTCTTATTGACTCAAGCAGTCGTGGAAGAAGAGCATACCTTTTTTTTTTTACCAATAACTTGCGATAGTAACAACTTGAAATGGTAAGATGTGTTTGCATTGCATCATTGTCATCCATACATTTTCTTAAAAATTTGCAATTTTTTTTAATTGTAATGTTAATGGAAAAAACATGTGGATAAAAAGACATAATATTCACTTTTGCAAACTTCTAGTTTCATATTTTGTTAATAGTCTTTTAAAGTTAAGTTTTGAATACTGTACTGAAGTTATATACAAGTTACACACCCGCAAAACAATATATATATATATATATATATATATATATATATATATATATATATATATATATATATATATATATATATATATATATATATATATATATATATATATATATATATATATCAAAGGCAAGTTAGACTGATTTAATTTAAAATACCTAGAATGTTATTTTCTTAGCCTATTAAAGAAATATTTCATAATTGTGTGTATGTGTTAACTAAGTGCTCAGATTCACATGTTATAGGAAACTTGCAATGTGCTTACCATCTGTACATACATAAGAAACTCCTTATACTCAGTACTTGAATGTAGCGTAGAAGTAAACAGCAGTTTCTTAGGGGTAGCAATCACATGACCTTGTTGTGATCTACATTTGGAAATTCTTTTTATTGTGAAGTCAATTTTTCATGTAAGATTTATTTGCATCTGTTCCATCTCATTCATTTGGGAATGAGAGTAAAGTCAAAGTAATACGTAGATAGATTTGCCCTTGTATACCACCGCTCCCCTGCCCCCACCCCATCTTTCCCGCCAACACTGTCATGTCGGTCTTATGATGTGCCATATTACTGACACCTTGGGAGCAGATGACCAGTATATTTCCTATAATGTTCACTCAGGTATCCATCATCCACACATAGGCTCTCCAGACCTTACTAGATGGCATTACTTGCTGTAGTGTCGGGCTGCGCGACCCCGGCCACACCCACATCTCTGACTGACTCCCACTCTTCTCCTTGGGATAATTATGGTTATAATTCTCAGTAGTTGTTTTTTTACTATATAATTGTTTTTATAAATTGATGGCTGATAACAAAAAACAGAGTACTGCTATTGTATTTATACATTTGATTGTTGAATAGTTTATGAAATAGATTAAAACGTGCCTGTCATTATTATTTGACTAAAGTTTTAGATGGAGCAACCTATGGCTCAAGGGAAGAAGTGGTATTCTGTCCCAGGTGTGTTTTTGTCATGTACCTTATGTGTCGCGTACTTAAGACGTTGTTATAGGTAGGTGTGTACGGCCTCACAGTGCATTAATGGTTAATGTTTAAGCTTATTATTCCGACTCAAGACTTCTGTAACAGGCCAAGAATAAACCTCTTTAGTAGCCTCTTGAGTACTCCTCGTACTGTTGCCTGCTACTTGTATACTTTATTGTTACAGATTATTTATTTTGATATTTTTGTAACTCGGGAAACCCACACCACAGCTTCATGAGGGATGGTCCTCCCTGGACCTCTTTGGAGACTGGTTAGTCATACCTGAAGGAGCTGTCAAAAAAGAAAATAATATATATACAGTATATCACTGTCAGTATCACGTTGCCTCTTGTTGACATCTCCCTTTGTTGTTGTGTTGCTCTTGTGTACACAGATGTCTACAGAGGTGCTTAGACATAATTTTTTTTTACACTGGTGCAATGTCTAAATGTGTGTTAACCACGCCTATGGTACTCACACATGCTCCTGCATAGGTGTTTGCACGAGTGTTTAAAAAAGGTGTCTTCTCATTTACTAATGTATCTACACTTGTATACGCATTTGTTCAGACATGTTTTTACAAAAGCATACTCATATTTACCCCAAAGTCCCATGTCCACACAGATGCCTTCATACATGTTTACACACAGCATGTTTCACATAGGTGTTTATACCGATACTTGAACAATTTTTAACATGTGACCACACAGGTGTACTCATAATCGATTTTCACACAGGTCTTTACATAGGTTTACATACATTTTCATACAGAAACCCACACAGGAGTTAAATATCTCCTTTTGGTATATAAGTATGCGTTCACATAACTGTATATGTTTTGACATACTCATACAGATGTCCACACAGGTGGATCACAAAGGTGCTCCAGCAGTCAGGCTGTGGTGTAAGAACGGCATATCTTAAGAGTTTCGTCAACTTCCCCAGACTAACAAAATAATAAAAGTAATATATTGTATGAATAGATTAAAACAGTTTTTAAGTGGGGACTATGCATGATCAGAACTTTGTAAATGTTTTTTTATGTAAATTAATGTATATATAAATATTTTGATACGTATCGCGTGTGTCACCGAGTGAAAAAGCGACAAGAAGTTTTTAATGTAAGTATGATATAAATGTTTTTAAAGGCTCATTATGTATATTTTTGTATCCTGTTGAATATACATGTACATACAGCTCCTCCTCGACTTACGACGGGGTTAGGGACCCAAATCCAGGTCGTAAGTCGAAAATGCTTAAATAATACATAGAAAATCTAAAATGGATGTCCCTTTTTCTTCTCAGCACCACATAACTCTCACTTTTAAGCTTACCAGCCATTTTGAAGTGAATCACAAACGAAAATTTTGTCAGTACACAGTGCAATCACTGACGTTGGGACTCGAAAATACGTAACTTGACAAAATTTTGGTACGTCTGAGGCGGTCATATGTCGGGGAGGAGCTGTATTTAGATATATAAAGCGGAACATGACCCATGGGATAATGAAACTCGATATATAATCAAGGGTTTATCACATACTTTTATTACAGCATCTTGGTGACTGGCTCGCCTTGCCTACGGTACTGTGTAGGAGCAGAAGGCAGACAAATTAAGGTTAAAATGCTCAGAGGTTGAGGTGGATATGAATAAGTAAAGTTTGGTTAGGCCAGCCTTGTTCATATTAGGGTTAGGTTTAGTTTTTAATAGGCTAGGCTAGTTTATATTAGGTTGGGATAGGGTAGACTACTGTATTTTGTATTACACTAGGTATAGATTAGGCTATGCCAGTTTATGTAAGCTTAGGGTATTTTAATTTATGTTAATCTAGGCTAGTATGTTGTAGGTTAGATTACCCCAACATTTTTCCAATTGGTTTTCTTGTTCTACCACTTTAAATTAAAGAAATAATGCTCGTATCCAAAACAAAACCACTCCAACATGAACAGTAAAGTGCGCTTAGTGTTCCAAACCACTTCATAATGACACTTGTAGGGTAAACAAAAGTTCGCCCATTTCGTATTGCCTTATAGAGCAGATGTCTTTACACAGCGTGCTGATATTAAACAGCATGGGACTTTATATAGCGTATAGCAGATGGGGTCATAATAGTAAAAACTAGTAATGATGTAACTCGTATATAGCTTGGCGTCTCCACTGCTAGACCAGCGTTTCACAAAACCATGGAGCTTGTTGTTTTACACTACAAAATATGGGTGATCAGTAGAAATGTATCTTACGTTACAGAGCATTGTAAAGCGTTGCGTGTTCCGTGTTGGTATTGGGTCTTGCGTTCCGTCATAGCTTTGAGTAGGCTACATGGCGTAGCAGATGAGTTCACGACGGTCGTATCCTGTGACGACATAGCCAGAGCCAAGGTCATCTGTGAACACCCCACCACACAGTGCAGTGTTCTCTTCACTGACACTGTACTTGTGCTCTATCTGTGGGAAGAACAGACACCGAAAGAAAGGGAGGAAGTAAAGATACAGTACTGACAAGTAAGGACTCACAAAACTAAAAGAAATAGGAATATTCTATAATATATGACCTGCTAGAATCACAACACGACCATGTTTGCCATAACAAAACACTGTAGAGGAAAAGTTTTACTCTACCTAAATTTGTGAAATTCACCCATTTAAAGGTGTTCATTTATCTTTAGAAGCATATAATTTAACCACCAAAAAAGTAGTCTCCCTTAAACTAGAATATAACGTGTGTGGTACTGACAGGAAGGTTGGTGTCTGGGTTAAGCTGCCACACTCTGACGAAGGTGTCTTCGCTGGCCGTCATCAACATCCCAGTCTCCCGCGCCACATCCAAGCCCGTAATGGATCTCACGTGGGCACACACCTGTAGGGGGAGATGTCGTACAAACAAGCTGCAATACATCTAAAATGAGGTACCTGGTACATCTGTGAGAGAGAAAAATTAGTCCACATGTGGGATCCACTTTTTTTTTTTACGGGATTAGCCCACCAGGGCACAAGTCAATGACCCACATCATGGCCTGGGGGCGAAAATATAATAATAATAATAATTAATAACAAAAATTTTAAATAAAATATATTATAATATTATTATTAATAAAGGACTATAAATAAATACAGATCAATAGTGATATACGATATATGTATGTTGTGTTGACAAAGTAAGAGAAACAATTGAAACCCTGCAATTGTGTCATGAGGCAGAAAGTCGGATCAGCAAGCTGGGACCTGGTCACAACATCAACCTAGAGAAGTCGACTTGTGATAGAGACCTAGGGGTACTTGTAAGCCCGGACCTACGGCCTAGAAAACAGTGCGTTAATGTTCGAAATAAGGCAAACAGAGTATTGGGTTTTATATCTAGAAGTGTAAGTAACAAGAGTGCAGAGGTCTTATTGAAACTATATGCGCTAGTCAGGCTGCACCTCGATTATGCGGTTCAGTTCTGGTGCCCTTATTATAGAATGGATAAAAATTCACTAGAGTCGGTACAGCGAAGAATGACAAAAATGATTCCGGGACTTAGAAACCTTCCATATCAGGATAGATTAAAGAAACTTAACTTGCATTCCCTAGAAAGACGAAGAGTGCGGGGAGATATGATAGAAGTATTTAATTGGGTGAAAGGAACCAATAAAGGGGATATAGATAAAGTTCTTATAATATCCGAGCAGGATAGGACTCGGAGCAACGGATTCAAGTTGGATAAGTTTAGGTTTAGGAGGGAGATAAGAAGGAACTGGTTCACAAATAGGGTGGTGGACGAGTGGAACAAGCTTAGCAACGTTGTAGTAAGTGCGGGAACTCTGGAAAGTTTCAAAAGGAGGCTAGATAGATTCATGGATGATAGAGAGTGGTAGTAACTCTCGACAGGAGCTGCCATGCACAGGCCAACCGGCCTATTGCAGACTCCTGATTTTCTTATGTTCTTATGTACTCACATGAGGTCAATAAGCTATAAATTTCCTTGAATTAACTATCCAAACAATAAACTGCCGCAACTCACCTCAGCGACTATGTACCCGTCCTGGAGGTTGAAGATCCTGATGTGTCCGGAAAGGTAACCAGCCAATACCTGTCCGCCCCATGTTGTCAAGCACGTCACGGCAGACCTACGATACACATATAGTACTTGAGAAGAGTTAAAATATCTTGTGAACGTATCTAGTTAAAACCTCAATGTAATATTGATACATTTTTTTGTGATTTAGCTTTGGTCAAACAGGTCTTCATTTACGAGGGATATTCATTATAGGAAAATTACAAAGCTTATTATTTTCCTAGGTGAAACCCTATTATTCTTTTTTTTTGTGGGGATTAGCCCACCCGGGCGCAGGTCGGACGTACATACATCAGGGCCCGGGGGGTCTTATGTTAACAGGAATGAATTGGAGCTGATAACAGAATAATGAGGATTACTGTAGCAGTACAAATGCCTGTACAGTAAACAGGCAAGTAAGAAGTGTGGTGATCGACTCACCCATAAGAATCGATGGAGCACAACTTGGTGAAGCCGTCGTCTTCCTGAGCGATGGTCATGTCACCAGCATCGTCTGCGCTCACCAACACCTGGCCATGGGTGGCCAAGGCAGTGATGGGCCGCGCGTGCCACCTCACCTTCTCAACTGTGGCCATGTCCCCGTCTTCGTTTACACTGATCACCAGGATCTCACCTGTGTGGACGCCTAAGTGGCCACAACGAGTTGTGTGGAATCTCAGTCAAAAAATTACTATTTCTGGATTAATTTTTAGCTCTGACAGTTTAACTATAAGTCTATAATAATTTTAATCCTATGACAAATAAGTAAAGTCTTCTATACAGTATGTTTATTGATACATACTGCACAACAAAGATTTTAAGAGATTATTGATAAGCTTATCGAGGTTAAACTTACCAACACATATGTATCCTGTGTAAAGAGCAGCGATGCCCTTGGTGAAGGTAAAGGGAGTGTCCAGGGGCGTGAGAGGAAGGAGGTGGGCGTGGAGCAATACGGAGCCGTCCCAGTCGAATATGAGAGCGCCCTGGGTGGTGGCCAGCACCAAAAACACCTGCTCTCGCACCTCCACCCACGCCGCCTACAGGAGAGGGACACTGGTCTCTGATGTTGTACGTCTGACTTCATAATTCATTCTCTCTTTCTCGCTCTCTCCACGAACCTCAAGATTTCTAATAACAATCATCCGATAATCTCCAAACTTTCGTAGAATAAAACAAATACCACAATAAAAAATACCTATTTTTTATATAAAAATTATAGTGGCATTCCTAGCTGTGAAAAGAGATGCTTTCCAAGGAGGCGAGATTACCTGTAAGTCGTCACAACAAAACTAATCATGAAAATTTCTATAGGAAGTAACGGAAAGAATCAATGGTGGAATAACAATAATAATGTTAGTGAATTTCAACACGTCGAGAAACACATGAATTTGTAACAAAAATCATATCTTAAACTTATTTCAACTGTGTTTATCAAGAGCGTCACACGAACGTCTGATCAGCCATACAGTAGTTATTAGGATGTAGTGGAGTTGTGGGGGATGTAGTGGTGTTGTGGGGGATGCACACACATACACACCAACACTTGTCACCAAATACGGCAGGAATGTAACTCAGGCTTGGAGGTGAATGGAGAGAGAGAGAGAGAGAGATTAAGATTAAGATAAGAGCTCGCCATTTGTCACTTTACAAAGTACAACGATTAGATGACTAATGGTTTGGCTATCGTTAAAGGATATGTCACTCATGTTTGTAATATTTTTTTTCTAACTTCGTTTCTTGAGTAATACAAACATGATAAATATAGGCAACGACATAGTTGACGATTGGAAATGTCCCGGAATATTTTTGAAGTTTCTACGGACTTACATCAGCAAATTGAAGCTAGGGATGACTGATTAGAATATGATGCTTGTTGTCATTAATCTAAATATTTTATGTAAACAGAAAAAGTTACTGTACATCGATACTGGAGCCAATAAATCTGTGTAGACATAACGTTAAGAAAACAAAAGATATAAAAGTACTGTATATCGAGATTAAAGTGGTATTTCCTTCTGTGTGTGTGTGTGTGAAAACATTTGTAACAACGAGCTCGTAATTTCCTGCATTAGCAAGGGCTGGTGGCGTGGGTGTGCATTCTTTCCCAAAGTGTATGGTGCGCACGAAAGGGTTATGAGAAAACTTGTTCGGGCCAGGAAATTTGTCTCATTTTGTCACCCAGTCAAGAAATTAGCTCATTGGACACCCTGCATAAAGCAAACGCACTTCCACTTAGAAGATGAAAGTGATTTTAAAAGAAAATATCTTCAAAATTTAAGAGTTTATACTCAGATGATAAAATATCTTCAGGTGGACACACACACACACACACACACACACACACACATATTCCATTAAAATAAGAACATACTTGCAGTATTACAGCACCCGCGGTAGCTGATGGTGCCACTTTGGCAGCGACGACGCGCGGCTCCGCTTCCGGGACAGCCGGGCACACGATGTTCAACTCCTCCTTGTGTATCACGCCAGCACACATCTGTAACCAGCCCCCGGGAATTTAATTAATGCATCCTACTCGCTTTAAGACATGACGTCAACCATCACGCCTAAGGCTATGATGTATTCTTGTAAGCCAGCTGTTATGGCGTCATCTTATATAAGCCAACTGATATGACATCTTCCTTCAACCGAATTGTTATAACGCCATACTATGTGCTCCAGATTCTCATTTCACCCTTTACTGTGACGTTATCCAACATGTCACGTACCATGACGTCACTTTTACATATTGACACAATTTTAGTTCAACATTATAGAAAATATTGTACGTACCTTGCCGCCCATCCTGACTCGACAGACATTGTTGGGTAGAAGTGAAGCTGATGACTTTAGCAACACGGTCTTCTCTCTTTCATACATGGCGAACCACGAACCCTGAACCTGTGATGATGGTGAAGGTTCAGTCACTATGTTGGAGAAAGATGGTTCACCTTGTAGGAGACAGATGGTTCACTATGTAGGAGAGATGGCTCACTATGTATGAGACAGATGGTTCACTATGCAGGAGACAGATGGTTCACTATGTAGGAGACAGTTGGTTCATTATGTAGGAGACAGGAGATGATGATAATTCATTGTAGGGAAGAAATAGTTAAACTGTTGAATCCAGATCTATCCATCTACCTTCTATAGATAGATAAATGAAGATTTTTTCATTTATTTAAAAGGTACAGTCTCGTTCAAGATTCTTCGAATACTGCTGGTGACAGCTGGCGACTCAAGGCCGTTTGTTTCCTATAGTACGTAATATAATATAATACGAAACAACAAAGCCCAACCATTAAATTAAGTAACGGGGAACTAAGTAACCAAACACCGATCACTTACATTTATTCATAATTTTTACTACGTACTATAGTAAACAAACGGCCTTGACTTGCCAGCTGTCTCCAGCAGTGTTCGAAGAATCTTGAACGAGACTGTACATATTTCTTCAAAAATATGTTTATCTGCTGATAGTAGGGTTGCCATACGTCCGTATTTTCCCGGACATGTCCTCCATTTAGGTCTCGAAATCTTCATCCGGAAGGAATTTTTAAAATTCTTCAAAAGTCCGGAATTTCAGCTTCCATCATTTTCTCCACGGAAAAAAAAAACATGAAACTGTAATGACGGGAGAGAGAGAGAGAGAGAGGGGGAGGGGAGGTGGAAACCGTAGAGAGCTCGTTCAGTTTTCGTCAGCTGAAAGTCACTTGTACGCCTGTAGGTGTTGTCAACTTAGCAGTCAAATATTTGATTGATAAGGGGGTAGAAGTTGATGAAGTGTTTTGACCAAGTTAGTAACCTGAAGCAGTTTGTGGAAAATTACAAGAGTGATGAAGAATTTAGTAATCTGCCAACACATAAAAAGTGGACCAGATACTTTGAAAAATCAAAGAACATTGAATGCCACTCAGAATTGCTAAGAATTGCACAATTCTTCTTTGCTATATCATGTCACAATGGAAATGTAGAAAGAGTTTTTTCACTGATGCAAAGTCAATGGACAAAGGAAAGGAACAAATTGAGTGTTGAAACAATGAAAGGCATTCTGACCGTACAGTACAACTTCCGAGAAACACCTTGCAGTGACTTCTATACCTTTCTAAAGAGCAATCAGCCAATACTGAAAAAGGTCCGATCTACAGAAAAGTATGCATGGGCACATCAAGTCACACACACAGTGAGGGAAGAAGACTGCAGCTAAGGGAATGAAGATGTCCAGCCTTAAGCAAAGGTAATTTTTTTTTAAGATTTCTATACCATGTATGTTGTATATTAGCCTGTGTGTGCCGGGAGCGTCCTCTTTTTTGAATGTTCAGATATGGCAACCCTAGCTGATAGGGAATAATCAAGTGGTGTGAATGTCAACATACACAGTGTCTTTTTTTCAAGATTACATGTGTACCTGTTATCGTAGGTGGAGAGGAGTGACGCCAGGACTTATAATTATCAGTTTATTATCACACGCCGTGAAGACCACACTCACGAGTTAATAATTCACAAGGGTACTTTTATCCCTTTGTTCACTTAGTTCCGTTTACTTATGACTGTAACTAATCCACTTTTTTATATACTTTCTCACATAATCAGAAATTAGCGAATCTCTACACGAAACACGTACGAGGAATATCAAGTTATTGGTCGCTGAGACTGGAGTATTGCTCTGCCCTCCACCAGCAGGAACTCGCGTCGCCTAGCAACCCACCTCTTCCACACACAAACACTGCCAGACTTTGTTTCACCCCGCCAAGTGGTACTGATATCAAAAGATCAAATAAAATGTATTTTCCATTACGAGTGAAATAAACTAAAAGGTCTTTATGAAATCTTAGTGTGTCGATAAATGACCAAAGGAACAATAATTGGGTTAATGTCATATCACAGGAATACAAAGAACGTTATTTTTTTTTTTGTGTAGAGAAGTATTGAAAAATTAAAATTCATTTGTCCAATTTTATAACCTAGCATTAAAAAATGTCTTTCTTAGAAAAATGACGAGGATATTATAGGCACCCTTGATAGGCACTGGCGTTATTGTCTGGACTTTACCAATGTTTTTTACTCCTGTACTTGGCGTGTTCTCGCTCAACACCATGGCAATTGGTTCAGACTTCAGGTAGCATTGTTTAGCGGAGTGGTGAACTAATAATGCATTGACAGCATTTGGCTTGATTCCACCAATAATTGTATCTTGAAAAGTAAAACAGTCTAGATGAAATACATGAAAATTCCAAGTGTCGGGTATAGGCGTTGCTGGACATTGTTATGAGTAGAACCAAACGATTTTTACGAATTATAATATAGATGAAAACGGGCGATTGTGAGGAAGTATTGACGTGATGGAATTCTTTGTTGTTAATGATGCGCCTCTACTGCATCATCTGTTTGTGTGTTGTTGATAGCAGAAGCTGTTGCCTCCGAGGCTCCTGTCTGTAGGAGGTGTCAATCACACCCACCCGGCGGTGCCGCGGTACTAGTCATGTATAACACCATGGGAATCTGGTAACTGTGTGATCACCATTTCTAACTTTAGTAATATGGTGCTATTATCTTCAAGAAACGTGCATACAGAGTCCCTATAGCCTCCCCTGGAGGCTCACAATGGTCATGTGTGGTAGTTGGCGTCGAATGTGGCTGGGGAGGACAATGTCCTTACCCTTCTTCGTTTTCCTCTGTCAACCTATTCTGTCCACTGCCAATTACCCGTCAGACCAGAAACTAAGTGCCGAAGGTAGGTGAAAGAACTCTACTTAATAATAATAACAATAAATATAATAACATTCTAGTAAGACACTCACCCGTGTTAAATACTTGTAATTAAGGTTTACTGTACTAATAATGTTCAGTTCTTGGTGCAGGATTAGATATTCATTTTGTATTCTGTTCTCAAGACACTGAGGTCAGGTATGTGATTTTACTCAAATAACACCACCTTTCCTAGTTTCAACAAGCATATGTCAGTCTATATACCTCAGCATTACTTGAGATAGCTGTTGAATCTAAATTTCAAATTTTGTGAAGATATTGAAGAGAAGAAAAATACATTTTGTTTTGGATCTAAATCCTTGAAATTTATGACATTTTTAAGTAAAAATATTTCCCCCTCTGCCGCAACCTCCACCTTTATGTAGCAGTGGCCAAATAAAACAATCCAGCAATGAAGCTTATCTAATTTTGATGGAAACAGACCACTGAATGCTGTCAAAATTAATAATACAATAATATACTTTAGGCTAAGATAGAACAGGGGTCCGACTAATTACCCAAATGTACCCAAATGTAGCCGCAATGAAGTCAAATAATGGTCCTACATGAATAAATCGGGTTACCAATCACTTCTCGACTAGTATATGGTGTCACAAAGTAAAAAAAATTGGAAAACGTAATTTAATTTGAGTTAATAGATCGAGTGCATGTACCTAACCTAACCTAACCTCGACTAGTATTTGGTGTCACAAAGTCACAAAAAATTGGTAAACTTAATTTAATCTGAGTTAATAGATCAAGTGCATGTACCTAACCTAATCTAACCTAACCTAACCTAACCTAACACAACTCAGATTAAATTAAGTTTACCATTTTTTTTTTTACTTTATGACACCAAATAATAATCGAGAAGTGATTCACAGCCCGAATTACACTTGTACGACCATCATTTGACTTCATTGCGGCTACATTTGGGTAATTCCTCGCTCCCTCGGTACATGCACGCGATCTATTAACTCAGATTAAAGTAAGTTTTCCAATTTTTTGTGACTTTCTGACACCAAATACTAGTCGAGAAGTGATTAGCAGTCCGATTTATTCATCTAGGACCATTATTTGACTTCATTCATTATTATTATTATTATTATTATAATTATAATATTTTTACCCCTCAGGCCTTGATGTGGGTCATTAAAAATGACCTGGGCCCGGGTGGGCTAATGCCCGTAAAAAAAAGTCAGTATTTAACTTATCCTTATTTAACCTAACCTAACGTACCCTGACCTAACTCCCTAGTGGGGGGGGGGGGGCTTCTCCCCCATGGTATTATAGTATAAATTATAAAAAAGAAACACTTCCCCAAAAGAAAGCACTGTCACTAGCAATTAACAACAAAAATTATGGTGAAAAAGCAGTGTGTTCTTGCTAGAATCGTTGGCAGCATTAATCTACACGTTAACCGAACAAAGAACAAACCAACTGCCTAAATGCCTAGTAAGCTGATAAATGGTGAAATGAAAAATAATGAAATAAAAATAAATATCAGGTAGTTTGGTTTATGACATTTTCATTTATAATATAACTAATGAAACAGGAACCCAGTGGCTTTTGATTTAACCCCTTATTAATTCTGATGAGTTTCTCTTTCATCAGTCATGGGTCTAGTTTTAGTGCAGGAGGGTGCTGGAGTACCTGGGAAAACCTGCAATGTTCAATAGTTAACTTACATGACAGGTATTATTTTTTTGCATCCAACAAGGGATGAACCCAACGTACTGTGGTGGAAAGCAAGCGAGTTACTACTGTACCATATCCCTCTGTAGTACTGCAGTCACATACACACCTAATTATGTTTTAGAACTGAATTCTGTATATCACTCTTTCGTATTAGGAGAAGTTACTTGAAGGTTTATTTTATATTGTTTAATTATAATTTGGTTACCTACTTTGTACAAGAAGTTTAAATTAAATATTGTATGAACAGTAATTCCTATAATTAGCAATGCTTGTTATGTAAAGGCTTTTTCAAATGAGCTATTGTAAGTTGATGGTCACATTTTGAACCCTTTTGTGTATAATAAAATGTTTCTTGAGACAGTACAGTACCTAAATAACAGATTGTGTATCTCGAGGGACGACTTAGTAATTTTTCATTCAGTGCATTTATACTTTTCTGTTCATAATTTAGGAGGGACGGTGCTACGTGAGGTGCTGGCAGGACGGCAGGTGTACGTTTACCGCTCCTATAAGGATGTTCAGATCTTCCACTTCTCAGTTCCTCAACATGTGTCTACAGCTCTATATAATTTCACTGCCAATGACACCCTGGCCTGTGATCCTCGCAGCATTACTGTGTAAGTTCCAGACAGTATTGAAATATTAATTACAGTACTCTCCCCATTAGCTGCAATAATTGGTGTAGAGTGATTCAGGGATTGAGAGATTTCCAGGCATGGAGACAAATTTTCTCTTCCCCAGTAAAAATCACATGCCCCTGAAATTTTCCCAGGTACCTCACACAGACAGACACAGACCTGTCTTTATTTATGCAAACACATATATTGTACTGTACGTACATGTACAATACAGTATACAGGTACAGGTATTGTAAATAAATAAAATATACTACTGTATACACTATACTGTACTCTCCAGCAGATTCTGTCATCTTGAGCTTGTGATGCAGGCAGACCAAATGGTGTAATGATGATACAGGATGGCCTGCCTTTGTCCTGTAGCAGGTGTTGCTAACTCACTCCTCTCCCTCCATGGAGGGATTGTACATGCACTGTATACTATACATACACCCTCTACACACTAGCCTGCAAGGTAGGCATACTGTGTGTGCACTGTCCACTCTGCTATTTACTGTACAGTATTGTACATACAGTATGGTACTTTCACACTTACTGAATGTACAGTACAGTATACATAACTGTAATCACTCTTTATGCCTTAACGCTGCTTTAATGGTATGCTTGGCTGAATATATGCTGGTACAGTAATGTACAGCATAGTGCTGTACTGTATGTGAAAACAGCAGTGAGTGAGCAAACAAGCTTGTACAATTGGAGTGGACAATGAATTAAGAATGTCATGATGCAAAGAGTTTGAGGAAATAGGCTGTGAGATACATTAGCCAGTCATGGGCATCCCTTGCAGTCATATGACAGTAGTGGCCAATTGTCGCTCACGAGCACTCTGAGCCTACCCACCCATGCGCCCGGCACATGTCCCCTTGTTGGAAACATGATACAATCTCTTAGAAATTTTTTCCCATGCTTAGAACAGAGAGATGTTTTCCTAAATTTTGGGAAATGAGCATGATGCAGTTCTTGGAAATTCGTTCAGATATACCGGTAATGGGGAGATTTTCCCAGAATTTCTCGGAGTGTTGGAAAAATCTTCATGCTATTGGAGAGTTCTGGGGTTTGAACATTCCAGCTAATGGAGAGAATACTTATACAGTAGTACATGATTGAGGATGTCAATGTGTATAAATGATTATAATGTTTATTAGGTCAATAGTTTATTGTCTTTAAAAGGAATTGCTTTTGTAGATGTTTCTCATTTGAATTTCTGTAGTATTCCATATTGGTAATTTGTTGCATTTGTTGCCATGCTCTGGTGAACCTTCAGACTGTATTTGAAATACAGTATTATTAAATTTTAGTAGATTGTCTGTGATTATAAATGTTAATTGATTAGGTACTTGTATAACCACTATTCATTTTAGATATTAGTTTTAAAAATTTATTGTTGGAACTGTGAAGACTCTTGACTACCAGACTAATGCTTGCAGAGCCTGTTCACTGTTGGGAATGTTTTTAGTTTTTTGCACATCCCAATAATGTAATGTATTGATGGAGTGAGATGAGCTGGTGGAATGAGAACATTGTTATCAAGCATGAGCAAAATACTCATAGCTACAGGTGTAGTTTCTTAACGAATGAAAGCACAGCTTCTTTAGATTATTAATCAATGTGTGACTTTTTCTCCCATGCTACCAGTACCACGTCACCACATGTTCGGGTAGGGGTGATACTGGAGAAGATGGTTTGTGAGTCAGAATGGTTCACTATAACATTTTAACAAATTACCACACAAATAGAATTCCTTATTCAGACTTTTTACTGTGTACAGCACTGTATTTAATTGTTTTCATTCTTAATATTACATTTTTCTTCCTGCCAGTTATCTACAAGCCCAGAGCTACCCAGTAGTCAATCCTGATGGTGCAGAATTTCCACCTGGACTGTGGGTGAATCGCTCTCAGGTGTATGAGGTGCATCTGCGTTCAGATTTGAAACCCTCTTATCTATCCGTCCCATACCCGGTGACTGGTGATTGGTTTATGGTTGCATTTATCAATGAAACGTCCAACCGAATCACACAAGCAGTATGTACTCTCTTGGTGTTACATGTTTACGTTTAGGTCCTTATTAGTCCTGTTTATTTGTGCCACAAAATATATCTTTTTGGGTTTTATCGGATTATTTTGTATATTTCTGTAATTGATCAAAATACATTGTCTAATATATTCTTCAAATACTATATTAAGTCATTTGCTTTAAATGTTGTACAATATATTAATTATATGTTGTAAGGTTTTTAAGGTTTGCTTTAGTGTATAATGTTTAGTGCCATAGGATGTTTATACAGTAGTATAGAAAGCATATGCTAAGATCTTCCAGTAACCATCCACTTAGAAAATGAAGTACGTACAGTAATTATTAATAGCTTAGTTTGAGGCATTAGAATATTAAGAGCTTTTAGGCTTTCTAATAACTTTTTAAATATTTTGATGTGAAGCAGGAAGAACAAATTGTTGACACCTAGTGTAGATAGGTTGGATGTGAAAATTTGGGGAGGAATCATGGAAGATTATATTCTGTTAGTGCTCTTATGGTCTTGACAGCATGGTGGCTTGATTCAAACTGGGTTGGTTTGAGCCTATCCTGGGTGGTTGATGCCATGTCATCAACCTCTGTTGACTTTTAACTGGTAAACAAACACCATCATTCTGATCAAGAACACCTCCCTCGATGGGTCACATTCTTCACATAATAATAAGTACAGTAGTTCCATTTTAACAAATTCATTTGGTTTCAATGTGTATTTTAAGTCAGTAATTTCTTTAAAATTCAATGGCTTTTGCCTATTGAATAGACAGGGATTTTATACATAGAGTAATACACTAAAGGATATGAATTTTATAAAATAGAAAAATATAAGGATTGTAATGATAATACTACTGTACTACAGTAATTTTAACTTTTTTCATGCCTAGGGTCTGTTTCCATCATGTCACTCATGGCTGCAGGCAGAAGTAACTTACAGACAAGAAAATGACATTGTCACTGTTGTGCCTGAAATACATTCCCACCAAGAGATACAACTCTACCAGAAAGTTGAAGGTTCTCAGTATTATAGGTCAGTTATTATGTGTATTGTAATGGTACTGTACTTTGGAATGGCCACCAGATCACTAATTTGTTTTTAATGGTCATTTCCATAATAGGTTGGCATACCTTAAACAACAACCATAGTCCCACAGTTTGTATCTAGTCATTTCAGAGGGTTTATTTGCGTTTGACGCATTTAGCTTTAACGGATACAGATAAAAACTGGTTTATCCGTTTATCCTGTACTCTGTTCCTTATGTTTTAAAATTAATTATAGTACACGTATGTACTGTATAGTATCAGTATTAAGAAATAAAACTCGCAATACTGTACTGTACTGTAGCTCCTTTATGATCAATAAGGGATAAGTTCCCTCTCCTGATAATTATAGTGTATTTCAAAACATTTACCATATATTGTATTCCTTTCAGATTTTTCACCAGAAAATAGGGACAGAAATAGTTTTGTATGAAATTTAAAATTGTTTGAAAATTTTATTTGGTACCAGTATTTCTGAAAGCTATTTCCTGTTAAGCGTTACTTAGAATTGCTGATATCCAGGTTATGTGTCAAAGTTTTTTATGCTGATAAGATGCAACTGCCCAAAGACCGTGCAGTGCTCTCTTACAACTTTATAAGTTTTCTTTTGTTACTGATGCTGTGTTTACAGAGTTTTTAACTGGGTTTTTCAATATGAAAAGTTGTCTTCTAATACATTAACATCTTATTAATACAAAATGAAATAATTGCAATTGATCTTGTCATAGAGACTAGCAAATATTGAACAAAGTCTTTCTTTTTACAGAAATCTCTTAAAATATTGCCTGCTTTCAGTGAAAACATTGTCTATATGGATAGTGTATATTGTCATTATGTATGTCAAGGCCCTAACATCAAGGGCTGATTTAATGGTGTGAATCTTACAGGTCACTTGCTTTTTCCTGCCATAAAATATGGGATGTCTTATTTCAGTCCTATATTTCTTTGTATGCATGAATATTGTTTTATATTTCTATTATTAATTTTTTGTAGTACCCCTGTATTGTAGTTGCAACTCTGATATTTATTACACTGTGCATTGAGGTCATGATCAACATTTCTCTTGCTGCCATTGTAATTGTTTTTTGTTTCTCTCTCATAGATTCTACGTACCATCATCAACATGGTTGGTGTTTGTGAATATCAGTAATTGTGTGGTTCTTGAGGATGAAAATATGCCTTCATGCCCTGTAAATATTTCCTTTAGAGCACGAGCACTGCCAAGCCCCAATTCCACAGATACAGTGTGAGATATTTGCCATTATTATATCCAGTAAGCTGGACTTCTTGTTCTGAACTCTGTAATATCAAATACATTTAATAATTGTTGTTATATATAGTTTGTGAGTAAAGTAACAGAATGACAAGAGAACAAGTGTTGCAGTAGTATTTATCTCTTAATTTTCTAAAACTGATTAATTATTAACTTTCCTCTTCTTTTGGAAGGATTCACAAATGTGATGAGGAAGGTGTTGGTGATGTATGCACAATGCAAGTAGTACCGGAGGAGGAAACATGGCATTATGTAAGGCTTACGACACCACCTGGCACATCTGTTCAACTCAGCATGGCTGTTAAATTTTACTGTGAGTTATTTAATAGCTTTAGTTTTTCATTGTAATTAGTGAACTTGAAAATTGTCAGGTAAATATATTATAGGCCACAATATTTGGTCATTATTCTTTATGATTGTTATAGTTTTAGATAGGCTCACACAAAACAGCTTGAATGTGACCTCAAAGTGACTGTCATATAGACTCCAGTTGAAGGTGCTAGTTGACTACAAACTAGAGGAGCAGACAGCAGTTTCTGACATGTTACAAGGCATCAAATTTGAATCAGTCCATCCTTTTGTTATCCCCTGCAGTGTACAGGGTATTGAGATAAGACCTAGAAGGGTTACCCATTTTACCAGTGTGTTTGTGTGAATATGTTTCTTGCATGAAGTGAATCTCTTGGATGAGTTCAGTCATTGAGGGAACAGGTTCTCCCATAAACAGAAATTGTGGAGGGAGAATAACAAATATTCTGTTGTATTTACTTTTCTGCGGTTTCACCCTTAAAATAAATTTGCCATCATTATCATCATCATTATTGAAATATGAACAAGGAAATTGCAGATATTTCTAAGGTGTCCTGGAGTTAGCATAAGATGTCTAGATGTCTATTTAAGTAAGTCAAGCTATTATATTGAAATTTTCATTCTATGATGGTGATTCTTACCATGTGTAAGTTATTTTCTTTGTCATTCACTGAACTTTAGTCCTAACCTTTGTTGCCATTGTTTTACAAATTGTCCCAACCATAAAAGTGACATCAACACCAAGAATACCTCATCATACTGTACATCAGCAATAAGCATTTTGTTTTTATGGTGTGTTTACAACAGGTGTGGAGAACCTTTTTTTAAATTTGGATAACTTTGGATTATTAAAATGGTTTTCATTTCAGGATACACACTTTATTTAAGTTAGTAAGCTACATAAATTTTGAAAAACTGGGACGTTGAATGAATAAGAAGACAATATGTAGCTTAATGAAAGGCTATTTAGAAATCTGCTCCTTTATTTCCTGTACAATCCACCAAGGACTTAATTTCAACAACAACTGTGACATTCCCTTAAATTTTGTAGACTTCCATTGGTTCAGTAATTACAGTAGTGTTTTCCCACCATGTTATTTTTTTTTTTTTTTTTTTTTTTTACCAATTTAGACTCCCTTTTTTACTTTGATAATTTCCACAAATAGAATTGACTTTCAATGTGGCTTTGTGGGTGGATATGATCCGAGAAGTATTTGGATGAATTCATTATTTCCCTCTTTACAGTATTCCCCACGATGATGGATCTAGTTCTTCTGAAACTTGTTCAGTCTTTGTTCCAGGCTGCTTTTTCCATTATTGGTGTTGCTCCTCAACTGCATAGATAAACACTGACAAATGAAATTTGGAGTCCACATGACATTCCTTATCAAGTTAAACACTTAAATGGTGAAACAAACTATGGCCGGGATTTTACAATTGTTTCTTTTATAGCTGGTAGGAAATTTTAATGTAGCCCTTTACATTTTATTTGTTAAGAACTAAATAACTAATAAATGTTTTCATTGGGTTACAGTATGTGATGACACAGGAGGAAGCAGTTATCATCTCCTAAGTAAGCTGAACCTAAACCAGTTGTGTCCAGAGGAAAGATATAGTACTCCAATCTCTTCATATTTCAACTACCCATCAAATAACACAGATGAGATAAGCAATGGAACAGTCACCACTAAAGAGCAAGTACAGTCACGTCGCATCCTCTTCATGCCTGCTATGAATACCAAGCAGCTGACTGAGGAGAACTGTTGGCCAAGGTAATGCATTCTGTATGTATTTCAGCTTCCGTGTCAGAAATGGCTGTCTTGTGCACAGGAAATTAATTTTAAGCTTACATGCTGTATCATATGCTTAAGTACATTAAACCTCAATATTTTTTTTTTTACATGTCCTTATTCAACAAAGTCATAAAAAACTATACTGATAGCCATATTACTTCTGAAGTGTATAGATAGCATGATTTAAAAGTACCATACTGTATTAGAAATAAGAGTAGCATTATTTTGGCTTGTAAATATTTTGTACAGGAGGGGTTGGTGGATGGAATGAATGGTTGGATATATGTGGATGCAAGTTGGTGGATGGCCAATATAGTTGTGAGGATATTGTATAGGAGATATGCATATGTTTATGATGTAGGATATGTGTGTGTGTGTGTGTGAGTGATCATACTAGGTGTGTTCATTTGTATGTCTTTAGATACTATTCATTATTGTTACTTTCTCATTGCAGGCACAGACTTGTCAAAAAAACATTTGGAGGAAACTTTGTGTTTGAGTATGACTTGCCACCTGATGAGAATGACTCTGTACCTCTTCTCTTAAACATTACCAATGCTTCCCCAACACTGCTTACATTTAACCTTGAGCCCATTATTGACATAGGAGGAACAGTTTCAGTGGAACTGGCTATTTCTCCATTTATGGTAAGTTTATTAAATACTAGACTCATAATTTCCTTCAATAATGAATACTGTACAGTACTTCATATTTTAAAAATCTAGGGTAATTAACCCATTCAGGAGAATTGTGTTGTAAATTGGTATTAATGCTGTTCATTATCTGGTCATAGCCTTCTTGCCATTCTCTGACTTGAGGAGGTATTCTTGTAAAAATAATAATGGTTATTGTAGATCATCATGTCTTATAAAAGTAAGATCTCAGATTTTATATCACACCCACAGGGAAGAAAGTAAATTTCTATTGAAAGAGAAGTTTTTACCTTTCACTTTAGGTTGATTTAGTTGACATCAAATACTGAAATATATAAAAATTTACTTAACATGTTTACACATATGCCTTTACAGAACATAAGTAAGCACAATTTTAGTGTAGCTGGATGTGTTTCCCTTGGAATACGTGAAGAAGCAGATGTGAATGGTGAATGTTCCCAAGGCTACAGTCTCCTAGTCAATACTTCCAGTCTAAATGATGCTGCTGCTTTGGTGTTAATACCATTCCCAGAGCCTGGGCCTTGGTTCCTTACTCTCAGCCCAGGATGTTATCTAAGCAATGCCAGGTTTGTGTTAATTTGATATGTTTGTGTAGGAGTAGAATTTATATCATTCCCTTTTCTGTTGCAAGAATTATCTAAAACATATTTTTTTTACTTTAAGCTTCTCTCTTTATGGTGTTTCTATAAGATTTAATTGTTAAGTTTTCTTCAGTTCAGTTCCCCCCTTTTTTGCACAAAGCCTTATCAGTCAAAAATAGATGACAAATTTCAGATTAGTGATTCCATTTTTGCAGTGATTATTCTTACGGAAGTCGCAATAGACTTATCTAAATATTTACCCATTTTATGTATATATTAAAATTTGAAAGAGGATGTACTGATAATATTAAATGTAGTGGAATAGTATTTCACTGAAGGAATAATCCATCCTAATTATCCTATTGCCTGCTGGGGTTAACTGGTTCTTTTCACTTCTTAACTTTTTCCTGTATCAAACTGTGTAGACAATGGGTAACGGCATCACTTCTAGGTAGAGTACAGTATACCAATATCTTAATTCCTTAACAAACTATAATGTTAGGTATTGTTAATTTATCATTTTAAACCCCAAGCTGAATTAGTTTTTGAATATTTCCTGTCACATTCATTACAGTGAAGTTGTGGGGTGTAGTGTGAATGTGACGACAGTGATTTTTGGTGTGACGTCAGCATCATGTTTACAAGGAAAATGTGGGAGATATGGCTCTTGCTACCAGTATATATCTGGTGGCTTCATATTCTCCACGTGTGTTTGTGATGCAGGTTAGTATTTTACTTTTTAATCATAGTACTGTACAGTACTGTATATAGTAACTGACAGTGGAGATAATCTGGTCTCTAAATCCATAATATTACATTTATATGCAGAAGTTACAAGCATTTTCCCTCTTTATGTAACCTTCAGTTCTTCATCTATAGGGCATAGACACATAATGTTATGAACTGATACTGTAGTACTATACACTCCTAAACATTACATCGCCTGTGTAATATCTCCCCCCCCCCCAAAAATGATGTTGCAGTAACTTGTGTGATTTTCATCTGTTTGAGAATTTACATTCATTATTTCAAAGCTCTTAAAGCTCTATACCATACATACTGTTCATATAATGGTGTTGTAGTACCTGGCATCAGGGTTGCATGCAGAAGTGTCACTAAAGGGAGTCCAGTTACCCGTTGTAATTTTTTTCCCTATAATCTTTTCCTTGTTCTCTACTTTTTCTTCATATATAATGTTTTATATTGATATGCATTCTTGTTTTGACATGAATTTTTGCATCCCATTACTTGAATTTGTATAATTTGTGTGATTTCATATTTTCACAAGAAGTTATTTTACACAACTTAAATTTTTGCCATGCTTTACTATATCTGTGTACTGTACCTGGTATATGCTACCAAAAACTAAAAAAAAATACATATGACTTAATAATTAAGATATTGTGATCATTGACACCAGGTTATCGTGGTTGGGGATGTACGGACAGTTCTGAGGCCACACCCAACTGGAAACTTCTGCTTGCCACCCTGTTACTCACACTATCAAATCTCTTCTTCCTGCCAGCCATCTTCCTTGCCCTTAAACGTCGATATTTTGCTGAGGCCATTGTTTATGCATTCACCATGGTTTTTTCTACGGTAATATGATACAACTTAATTCCTTTAGCTAAATGTTGTAATACAGTACTGCACTACTTGGCTTTTATACTGTAATCAATTTTTAACTGTGAATTGAAAATATGCAGTATACTAAGTAATACAGTATTAATCTTTGGTATTGCAAGAATCTCATATTTATTCTTTATGCTGATTAGCATTGAATATGATGTTGTCTGGTGCATCCTATTGTGAAAACAGGTTAAGAGTAGATTGGTGTGGTGTGTTTAATATATGTATTGGTTTATTTGGTATTGTGAATATTTATACTAGTTAGTAAACTACAGTAATTTTATTGTTGATTTGCATCATCCACTGCAACATTAGATGATTTTTGTGTTTAGGATGGAATTTTGTTTGTGATACATGATAGACCCATCAGGCAGAGGCTAGAAGGCTACTTTCACATGGAAACTGACAACAGATTACAGTATTAGCACATGCCAATCTTACAGTGCAGGACAGCCACTTTGAATCAGGGAGTTGTATACTGAATACATGCAAGTTTTGTAATACTGTGAAACCCTGCAAATACTTGTACAGCTTACCGTATTTTACGGAATATAATCGGCTGTGGCTCTTCAACAATATCCAAATGTTCAAGAACTACAAACCTCCCCTCATCTTTAAAGTTCACGTGCAAAATACTTTCTCTTGGAGTTGAAGTGACTTTTCCATTGCTATTAATTTTTATGTGAAAGTAGCTGGCAATTTCCAGTCAGAGCATGTTGGCTGTCTCCATAGGTCACTTTCTTACTCTTTGCTAGTCAGTATGAGAATTTTGCATATATCAGTCCTTTCTGTTTAGGTGTTCATTGCAGTCATAATAACAAACTGAACCCCATAACTGCATACTAATTTGATAACAATAACTGCATAATTTATAGGACATTTATAACCGGTGCATTTCCTTGAATCAGGTCAAACACTTTTGATCTATGTCATTAATCCCTCAAGTTACATGCTCATCCACAGTTCTACCACGCATGTGACCAGGAAGCATACAACTTCTGTCTCATGCGACTCAGTGTCATGCAGTTTTGTGACTTCTACTCAGCCATATTCTCGTTCTGGGTTACTCTCATCGCTATGGCAGACCTCCCACACTCTCTCTACTCTTTGCTGCATGTTGCTGGTGCGCTGGTGAGTCATGGCATTGTGGTAGCTCAAGGTTCCATTTAGTCATTATATTATGGTGAATTTTAGTCCTATTGTAAGTCCTGGTGCTATGATACATTACCTGGTATAGTTCTCTGGTAAGTTACAGGGTATAGTTCTATGGTATTTTATGTGGTACTGTATAGTTTGGGGTAAGTTTCAGAGTATAGTTCTGAGATATTATTAGATGTTTACAATCTTTTGTAATGGAAATTCCATGAAATATCTGTTAGGCCCACTTTTAGAAATAAGTTTTTGTGGATTGAAAGGTAATGTTTCTCTTGATTACATTGCAGATTGTTGCATTGGGGGTTGAGTATGACCGCACTGGGCTGTGGGTATTTGTAGTGCCATCTGCCTCTGCTTTTGTCATCATGGCATCATCTTGGGTGAGTGGGTTTCTTGAAAGAAAATATTCAATTTTTATATGCAGATATGTGTAAAGTCATTCTATGTGCTACAGTACCATAAATGAAGCAAATGATAGATGTGAGGGTATTGAAGGGTTGGAAAATATTCACAAACACATCCACTTAATGATGAAGCTGTCTTTTTTTTTTTTTTTTAAGGGGATCAGCCCACCTGGGCATGGGTTACCAACCCACATTGGGACTTGGGGGAGCAAAAAATTTGAACCATAAATAAATACAAACATGAAAAAAAAAACAGATCAAGAGTGAGAAATGATATATACAGTAAACCCTCGATAACTCGGCACATGTGGGGCTCTGGCCTTGCCGAGTTATTCCAAATTCCAACTTTGGATGAAGAGTGATAACCAGTCCAATGTCTTTTCATGCAGGTTTGGCATTGTAAACATCAAAGAGGATGCTACCCCAGCAGGCACTACTGGCTGACTTGTCTCCTCCCGGGAGTGCTGTTGGCTGCCTCAGGGCTCATCTGCTATGCGTTCTTTGAAACCCATGACAACTACTACTATGTGCACTCTGTGTGGCATGCCACTATGGCCCTGGCTATACTGTGCCTCCTGCCACCTCGCAGGGAGAAAGATGGTAGGAGCTTGACTTATGAGGCAAATTGTAATTTCTGCAACTACACCAGAGAGTGACTTTCCATCCATAGGGTTTTGTGTAAGGTTCATGGCTAGTATTTCTGTGGGTACCATTTTTCTTCAGATATACAGCTTAAAAAACTAGAATGAGAAATGAGATATGTACGGTTAAAATGCTGTACTTCAACTTTTCTAGTCAGTTTGTAATGTGTGATTATGTTTGACACAGTGAATTATGTGGATTTTGGTGTTTTTTTTTGTTTTTGTTTTTAGAATTTTATGAAGATAGATACAGTGGACACGGTATGTCGTCATCTGTCATGGTTGCCTTTGACAATACAGCCCAGTGGCTAATATGGGACCTTCATACACCATAAACCTAGCACATATATGTACAGTCCCGTTCAAGATTCTTCGAACACTACTGGAGACTGCCGGCAACTCAAGGTCGTTTGTTTACTAAAGTACTTAGTGAAAATTATGAATAAAAGTAAAAGTGATCGGTGATTGGTTACTTAGTTTCCCGTTGCCTAATTTAATGGTTGGGCTTTGTTGTTTCGTACTATATTATACAACGTATTATAGTAAACAAAAGGCGTTGAGTTGCCAGATGCATCCAGCAGTGTTCGAAGAATCTTGGACGAGACTGTACCTTCCTCTTTTCACACATTCCACATATTCTTTGATTTAGTTAGTCTGTCAACCAATCCTTTATTTGTTTTTTCTCCTTACTGAATTTACTCATGTGAATACTAGTCATAATTTATCTGTTGGTAACTACTGTTTTCACCTCAGTACAGGACTTCATCTCTTCTCTACATTGTCTTTTTTTTTTTTTTTAGATAATGAATTTTATTGTCTCCCTTGTTAATTTTTTTTTATTTTCAATGCATTTGATATAGAAAAATTCAGCCACTTGCACTCATCATGCCTTTCACTGTTACAGACTCATGTTTCTCTAGCAATCAGTAGTTGTACTTTTGTGCCATATTCTCCTATAATTAATCTTCTTCGGGCTGCTCAGTTAACTTGTAATTCAAATTATTTTACCATCCCAGCTTTCATTCTATTATTCTTCTGAGAGAGTGACCGAAACATGTACAGTATGTGTGAATCTGACAATCTTCTGTTCTTCCATACACTTATATCACATTCCAGTTTTCCTCCCTCAAACACCACCAATGTTGTTTTATGTGCTTCAGTATTAATCTGTTTCACTATATTTCAGTTTCTGTAGTTTCCTTCCAATCAACTTATAAACAGTAAATGTTCTTCTTTAACAAATATTGTACTGTACTTTATTTTGTCTTCATCCATTTTCATAGCTGATAGATTAACTTGATAAGCATAGCTTGTACAATACAGTAAGCCACTGCTAGATTGCACGAATATAACCACATACTTGTCATGATGTAGTTAGCTGTGTTACTTGTGGATCTTAATCCTATGAAATAAACAGGATTGTCTTCTGATCTCATGAAATCCATTCACTAGTGGTACTTACACAGCACTACAGCTATATCTCTTAGGGAATTTGAGTCACTGATTCCTGCTGATGCAACTCTCACAAGTCACCCCTTTAGCCAGCCTGCCTCATGCACAAGTTGCCAGCCAATGCCCTGTTCTCTCTCTCACGAGACAAGGTAATGTTGGCCACAATATAGTGGTGGTTTACTGTAAATAGTACTGTACAGTATATTCTTAAAAGCTTCCCTCCAGTGCACATATCCAACAGAACCCTACCATAGCTTTTTTCTCCTTGAGTGTACTATCTCCACTACTCTTGCTTACTTAACTATGTAATGTATATCACTTGATGTAATTTATGCAGCCTTCTCTGTGAGAGGGCAATTTTAGTCATATATGCCACAGCAGTAAGAATGGTTGAAAGAATGGCATAAAATGAGGGGAGAATGTATGTGTGTGTGGTTGCTGTTAACTCCAGCCACTCTACAGTAAGTGAAAAAAGGCTTGAAAAGGTGAAGAAAAAGATCTTCAGCCATCTTTTTTCCTTACTGTGATACCTTAAAATGTGTACCAATCTGAGGTGTTGTTTTGCTGCCATTTTTATATATCTAGTCAAATATTCTTGAATGTGTGATATCCTATTAATCTTCATATTATTTTAATTTTATTTTTGCATTTTTAGTACACCTTTCCCTAATGAAATTTTTCAATTCTTATTCCTACCTTTTCTCCTATGTATTGTCATGTAATCTCCTTCATTTCTGGCCCACCTCTAATAATTTTTTTACTCTTTTAAACTTTTTATCTGTGCTACCTTAATTTAAAACTTTAAAATTAAAAATACTGTACTGTATATGTTTTAGGATGAAGAATTTAATTATTTAACATGGGAAACATTCATTGGATCACTCACATTCCCATCATCCATGAAACCACTTCACCCCCTCAAACTCACTCCAACATCCACACCACTTCTTCATAGACAATGTAGAGAATAACAGGAAGGGGGTTGACAAAACAAGTAGAAGGAATGTTCCACACACTTCCTCATATACTCAACTTTCATAAAGAATTTTAACTTTCCAACTGATTAGTGAATGGTTCACATCAGTTCGTTCTGCTTATTACATTGCCTTGATATCCTTTTGGGCTGAATTTAAGGAGAGCCAGATGATAGTCACTTGAACCAAATGCACAATAGAAGTTATACCTGTATTGTATATGTAAATGTTTTTTCACATGTCTGTTTTGCCCTCAGTGCTTCTGACCGGCAGTCTCATGGGCACAATATAGACATAGTCATTCAGTAGGCATTATTGATTTTGTAGACTGTGCTTGTATACATTTACAGTATACTATGTATTGTACATATATTTTGGAGGGCTCTTACAAGCCTTTTCTCATTGTATTGTAGAGCTTTCTTTATTTTGTATACAGTACTGTAATAGATATTTTGTCTTTTATAGCTCTTGACTAAACAGTCATTACCATAATAAATATTGAATTAATAATTAGTCAAAAAGTAAGTTTTCCTATTTATTGAGTTATTTAAATTTCCAGTTACTGTTAAGTGTGGATTAAATTATATAATACAGTACAGTATACTTTAATTTAAAAAAAGGCTTGTAAGTGATCTACCTAATTTGTCACTTGGGTATTTAGTTGCTTAATATTGTTCTCTTAGAATGACTTTTGTCAATTTATTAGGTCACCATTTAGCAGTCTGATAAAGTTTGTGTATTTCTTTCATGATACTTTATTAGAAAAGAAATATACCTAGTTGTAATAATTATTTCATCCAATGGTTTCATCTGTCTGACATGACAAAATAATGCATATGTACATGATGGGAAAATGCACATTGGTACATTTTTGCAGAGAGGAGTGGTGGTGGTGAAGAAGTGGAGCCATTGTCCGGGTGTGAGGCCCGGCACCACATTACTGAAGCGCAGACCTACTCTCCTGTTCCTTAGCTTGAATACATGATCCATTTTATCTGCATGATTCAGATTGTACATTAACTTATGTTCTTTTTAATTGTATGCATGAGATTCCCATGAAGTTAGTACGTACATCCTAAAGGATCTTGGTCATTTAATAAAGAATGAATAATGGGATGAAAAAAATGTGAAAACTACTACTTTTTTTTTCAGTGTAAGTTTCCAGAATGTTTGACTGTTAAATATGTATTTTTTATATAAGATGTGTCCAAGTATTTTGGTTCTATAGATTACTTCAACGCCACATATTTTATGTAATGCTGCCCGGCAAAATTCCTCCAGCAGTTTCTCTCTGGGCAATTCAACATAATCATTAATTTTTTATGCATGTTCTTGTTCTGTGCTTCATAATCTCTCACTTTTTTCCCATACAGACAGGAACAGGCAGAATTATTGTCACATTGAGTCTTATTAATTCGGTTGTTGATTTTTAACCCTCAGCCAATTTGGGCCAAGTTGTATTGCCATCACGTATGTCATATATGTGTCTATGGATCCATGTGCTTGTGAGTGTGTAAGTTAATCAAACACAAGTTAGTACAACTAATCCTATAATTTTGAATAACAAGGATGAGCAGTTGTCTTTTTAGAGTCACAAAGTCACTGGTTAAGGACACTTGCTAAACCTGGCTGAGGGCTTTCCACAAATTCTGTAGTTATTTCTTTTCTTCTACCATCACCTCTTGACATTTTCTTTGTTACGCCTTAATAGAGGGGGCATATAATGTTATCCATGTTTTTACATCTCTCTGGCTGTACATTCCAAAAATAATAATGGGGTGATGTCAAACATGGGAAACAGTCTAACCATCATGTGTATTGGTTAGATGTCCTGGTTTGATGAATGTTTCAGCCCACAGGTGAATTTTAAAGCTCAATTTGTCCAGAGTATAACTCTGTCATTGATACAGGTAATTTAAAAGACTTTATGAAGGATATGTATCATTACAAGACAATACTGTATCCTAACTACCTAACTTATGTCTGTCTCAAAGCTCAAGGTTACAAGACAGTGAAGGGTCAGCATTGTCTGGTGTGTACACGTGTGTACTTATATCATTGCTGATGCTGAAATTTTTTATGAAAATTTTTTCAGTGATTATGCATTAATATACCACTAGACATACTGTAAACACCAAATTCATATGTCTGTGTTGAAGGCCAAGGTCACTGCTGGTGGTTCATGATAAAAAAAATTATCCCTAGTAATTCTTGGGTCAATTTAGATATTAAAATGAAATTTTACATGGGTATATATTTTTCTAGGGGAAGTGTAGAACAACAAATTTAAGTTAGGAAGCCTTTGTTTTTGTCAATGTCGTCAAAAAGAAGAAAGGTTAGTGACAGCCAACCTATTTCTCTTCTTTAATGATGTACTGAATTGCTTGCTTTATATATATATATATATATATATATATATATATATATATATATATATATATATATATATATATATATATATATATATATATATATATACTATATATATATATATATACTATATATATATATATATATATACTATATATATATATATGTATAACTCTGATCTTACAACTTTGACACATTCCAGGATGTGACGTAGGTTTACGATTGTATGGCCCGACACTTATAGCGGGGAGCATTTAGTGTTACTCCTGTTCATCCAAATGAAATGTCCTTTCCATTCATTCATCCGAGAAAAGCTGCACAAATGGAAGTGAGCTTTTGTACACAACTTTGAATAATTGATGTATAAACTGAATACAATATTCAGCATTTTATTACATATTGTACAGTATATAACACACTTATATCTCCTGTTTGACTTTTATGAATTTTAGCTGGGATATACACCACTTTTAAGTGTTTATCCAATTCAGTACAGGTATCCCCTTATTTAAGATGGGGTTAGGTTCCTGAAAACCCATCACTGGTCGGGATCATTATAACATGGGTTCAATGGGATACGTTCCCAGCCAGTCCAACACCCACATGAATCACTGAAAAAAGAATCCTATATTAATAATATACATAAAACAAATTAGACAACACTCGCTACATATTAAGAACCCTGCTCACTTCACCTTCACAAAAACAGAGCAAAAGCACTTGTCATAAAAGCAGAGCAAATGATGATAACGTGAAAAAAAATGATAGCAGCTGACACTGTTCACATCGTGTTGACAACAGGAGACAAAGCACTACAAAAAAAAACCCCAGCAAATAAATCACTTCACACTCACCAAAACAGAGTACAGCTCCTCCCCGACTTACGACCTACTCGACTTACGACCACCCGCACTTACGACCTGCCTCAGTCCTACCAAAATTTTGTCAAATTACGTATTTTCGAGTCCGAACTTCAGTGCACAGACAAAATTTTCGTTTGTAATTCACTTTAAAATGGCTGGCAAGCTTAAAAGTGAGAGTTTTGTGGTGCCGAGAAGAAAAAGAGACACCCATTTTAGATTTTCTATGTATTATCTAAGCAATTTCGACTTACAACCATATCAACTTACGACCTGGATTTGGGTCCCTAACCCCGTCGTAAGTTGGGGAGGAGCTGTACAATGTGAATGTTAGTAATGTCTTCTCTTATGGTAAAAAAACAAAAAATGCCGATGATAAGTAACAACACTGATACTGACCGATAATGATTGAGGCACATGATCGTGGCCATGGGGGATCACAATGGAACTTAGCTTGGTACTATAGTATACCGGGTGGCCGCTTGGCGATGCGCATGTTGACAACAACAAACATGCGTGCTGCCAAGTGGCCACCCAGTGCACTACAGTACCAAGCTATGTTTTGTGGTGATCCAACATGACCACATTCGTGTAACTCAATGACTATCAGTCAGTATTGGTGGTGTTTTTATTATTATCTGTTTTTTTACTTTACAGTGAGAGGATATCCTCATCACTTATGTTCACATTACTGTATACAGTACTCAGTTTGGTGACTGTGAAGTGATTTTTGCCATGTTTTTTGTGACTGTCAAGTGCTTTGGCTAGAAGATGACCATCGTTCATGTGGATTGTTTACATTGTAAATAGGGGATGGTCTTAATACATCACATCGTTAAAGCAGAATATCATAGATCGGGGGATACCTGTACTTCTTATAAGCCATTACTATATGGTATCATTAACTACTTTCCTCTTCAGACAGGGTGGATCAAGTGTACAAAGAATTATTTATACACAATTACTGACGCTGCCAACTCCTATAGCTAAATGCTTACATACTGTGTAAAGGCTGCTATTTATTCAGAAGTGGAGTTCATAATATCAAATTCACACCAATTATATGTTTTAAATAATAATATTTCAACAACTTTCCCATGGTAAAATATGCCTCCTGAACTTTTCAAAGACCTATTATGCTGAAGAAAATCAAAACATGGCCTAAATAGCCTGGATACCAAGGAACAATTCCAGAAAGTTGCTTAAAATCTTGATAAGATAATTAAGTATAATAAATCCATGAGTAATATTTTTTCCATGTGTTGAGGAGTCATCTCTTCTTTAGACTCAATTTTGCAAGTGATTTTTGGGTATCTTTGCCATGCTACTTTTTTATGGTGAATACTGTTTCACGTATAATTGGTGTGTGACTTGGTTTCATGAATGTATTAATGAATTAAAAGAAATTTGATAGAAATCGCCTGGATTATCATCCTTATCCAATTCATGGAATGTTTTTCGTACCAGATTTTGATTTTGCATGCTGCACTTCTGAGTGGATGCATATGAGTACTGTATATAATTTCTTTAGATTAACTGCATGATGGTTTGTAATGTTTGTTTGGAAATGAGGCTTCTATCCTTGGCTATAACATACAGATATACTAATCCCCTCTTAAGTTTGTATTACCCTTGAGTTATTTTGCCACCCTTGCTGATAAGCCTTCTCACAAGTGGCTTTAATTTTATTACCCTTACAGGCATCTTCTCAGAGACCCATCCTTCTTCCCAGCCTGACCTGAGGGCCTACAGGTCAACTGAAACTGAGCATGACCCTCTTCCTAGTCTTCAGATGTCCTCACCCTGATTGGTAGATGTCATCATTATCACCCTTTATCCTGACAAACATTATTTTATTCTTGTTTTACATAATCTTTCAAACCAACACCTTTCTGTTTAACCTGCCATATTACTTATCTCTGCTAAATATCCAGGTACTAACCTAGCCAAACTAATCCATCACTAACAAAGCTGCATTGAAACTTTTGGTAGAAACTGAACCGCACTGTTAACTGTCTGGTGAGACTACATCCCATCCTGGTAATGGCTCCCTTTTCCCCTCAGAGAAATTAGATAATATACAGAGTATCCTAGTGATTTACACACACGAGCAATTATTTTTTTAACATGACTAAAATTACATTTCCCTGACTTCTACACTAAAGACACTCATAGTTTTGTATTTACATGTTTGACTTTGATGACTTTATCCCACTATTTTATTTTTTTATCTGCATTATCAATATTAATTATTTTTTTAGACAGCCTATACCGGGTAGTTGTTAGTATTCAAGGTTGACTGAAAGCAAGATTTTCAAGTGTTTCTATAAACAGTGACACGAGTTTGGCAGCATTCATGAGTGGTCAGATTGGTAGCACTGTACTGTATCTTTAGAGACTATAAACTTGTTTTGTTTCATATATTAAATATTATACTAGTACGATATAACTTATATTGGAAGAGATAAATCTATTTATTTCAAATCTATATCATGTATTTCTAATTCATGTTTTAAGTAAATATATGTTTTCAAACTGTATAGCACATAAGACTCATGGATTTCCATATCTCTCGTCTTCCTGCTCCCTCATGTGCTATTAGAGATTTTGTCTAGCAAGAAGAGTGTGAGAGAAGAGAGCTGATGCATGGTTGTTTAGAACTGTGAATGGAATGCATGATGGATGTGATGATCTATTTTGAGCTATAGAAAATATTTTTAAGAAATTTTCCTTTTTTGAAACTCAGGGAAAAATTAACAACAATGAGAGACTGTTCTTTGGTGAGTCTAATTGTGTGAACTCGGTAAAAACGTTTGTAGTATCCTCTTCATGGATGAATGATTGTATTGATGAACTTGGTAAAGAGTATATATTTTGAGTGTATTAAAAGATCCAACTAGGTGATTCCATCACACATTTCTCTTGTCCATTTTTGGCCTTAATAGTGTTCAATGAACATTCCATCCACAGGCATGCACAACTGTACTAGTCAATAATTATGTCTAATGCTGACCTACAATATTGTTAATATTTGTAGGGCTCTAATTTTAAGCAATTACCTGACAAAGGAAAGAATATAATTAATTGTCCTTTGTTTATCACCAATGGTTAATGTTTGTTTTCAGTGTTTGTAGGTGTCCACTAGTTTTGAACATTAATAGTATAATCTTTTAAATGTTCAAAAAAACTTGTGATAAATACATGGCAAAATGATTTATAAATTTTTTTAGACATAACTACTGTACTGTATTGTGAAATAAATTTCAATTCAGGTACTGTATATCAAGTGGATCTGGTTGAGTAAGCTGTTCTGCTGGAATGATATATATATATATATATATATATATATATATATATATATATATATATATATATATATATATATATATATATATATATATATATATATATATATATATATATATATATATATATATACTATATATATATATATATATATATATATATATATATATATATATATATATATATATATATATATATATATATATATATATATATATATACTTGTATAGATATATATCTGGATAGGCATTTGAGACCAATGTCCTGTAGACCATTTTACAAACTAGGCATTGATAAATTCTTATTTTTTAATGGCAGTGCTAATTAGTTGTTCTTGTACTCAGGTTGTACAGTACTTTTATCCAGAGATGGATAAGGCATATTAAATGCACATTTTCATGTATGAATATATAAAATATTAATATATAGTGTTATGTTGCAGCATTGTATTAAGGGTGATCAAAGACTCAGAAGTTATGAAAACATTCAGTAGCAATTTCTGTATGTTACATTATATTCATGAGTGAGTGATATTGATTTTTAAATACTTGCAGGAAAACATTTATCATGGGCAGGATAGTTTAATTATTTCTGTGCAACTGTAACATATTAATATATTCATATTATAGTAAATAGATTTTTATGTGATATATACCTAGATAGCATTTTTATGTACTGAACACATCTTACAAGTTATGTGTACAGTAATCCCGTGTTTTTCGCGGGAATTACGTTCCTGAAACTCCTGCGAAAAGCCAAAACCATGAATACTCTTTTAGGAATCACTGTACCTGTAACCACCAAACAGCTCAGGTAGGTCATGCACTTAACCACTCCATGCTCTCCACTCACGGCCCAGTGGTCACACTGATCACTGATGCACTGTACCGGCATTTACTCACATCATTATTTGAAACTAATCATACAGTATTGTAGTATAATAATGGAAAAACGTAAACACAGTTATATACAAAAAAAAATTATTTACAAGTGAATAAAAATTTTTATATTTTGCTGAGGTCGACAACACCCTCATTGCCAGTCTCTTCCTGCTGTCCCGGCGTCTGCCCGCCCTCACGCAGCCACGCCAGCCAGTCCTCTTCCACCCACATTCCTCCACTTGAAGACTTGTATTCTGGCAAAAGACAAATGAATTGTCAGTCTTCACCATAGCTCATACCACCTCTGAGCTTGTCCAATAAAACTGTTTTTTTCCGTTAAGGTCATCACTATTCTTGATCTCTTGGTCACTTTAGAGTCTTTGCTAGTAATATTTGCCTTTGATGAGGCTGGCTTACATCCCGTAGCCATGTGGAATGCACGTGGGAGGACAAATAGAAGAGGTAATCACAGTAGTGTTCACAGTATGGTAGGCACGTGTGGGCTGAGGCTTCTCGGAGCAGCAGGTGTCTGAGGCGGGAAAGGGTGGCGTCTGTTTGCCACACCGCACAGGGGAATATCGAAAATGGCGCATAATTTAAATTTTTTGTTTTTAAAGGATATATATATATATATATATATATATATATATATATATATATATATATATATATATATATATATATATATATATATATATATATATATATATATATATATTTTTTTTTAGACAAAAAGAAACGCGAATGGTCAAAACTGCAATAAAAAAAACGCGAAAAACACGGGATTCTGTATATGCAGATTCTGAATTCGTATGAAGTGTGAGAGTGGCAAGTTTTTTTTATAATAATTGAAAGGAAAGTCATGCATGGTGAGAGAACTGTTAAAATGCTATTCTCACAGTATGCCTTTTGAAGTTTGTAAATCAAAAACCTTGCCACAGGACATAGTTAACCACACACTTTGCTTCTCAGATTTCACTTAATAACATAGCGGTTGTTTTATCCTCCTACTACTGTTGAGGATACTGTATATCATTATCACTCACTCTTAATATATCTTATTGACAGACATTTCCATCTCAATTTGATGAACAGTCAGTGGTCTAAACTACATTACTGCAGTGTAAGGCTATACAGGCATATATATATATATATATATATATATATATATATATATATATATATATATATATATATATATATATATATATATATATATATATATATATATATATATATATATATATATATATATATATTAGTTAGCTTGTTAAGACACTGCATGTGACATATGTGTTATTCTTATAGACTCTGCCATGTGTCAAAATCATGTCACAAATTACTCTTGTAAATTTTCTGGAATTTTATATGGAAATATTATGACATAATGATACCTGTTTAATTAGAGTACCCGGTAAATTTATATATAGAATATTTGGTAGTTACACATTTTGTATATCTTAGGTATAGAAATACATATGTGTACAATTAAAGGATACATACATTGTAATCCTTCTGGCTATTTCTTATACACTAATAAGTGTATACAGCTTTATAAAACAGCTCATGTTTCTGACCATTTTAATACTGTGAAAAAATATCATGAATTTAGGTAGCTATTGTTTTATTACTCTCATGTGAAAGCATCTCATATATATTGGGGTATAGTTACTGAAATTCCAATATACGTTGTCTGATTGCTTATTTGATGCCGTTGAAATATACTGTACAGTATACAGTATTTGGTTCCATTACTTTTCCTGCAAAGAGCCTTGCTTGGCACAAATATATAGTTACTCCACTTCACCAGTCTTCTTAGTGCATATTCTATTTGCCCTTTTTGAGTCATCATTTTACCCCCTATGTTTCCCTACAGTAGATATTTCTTTTCTTGTGATGCTCAATTCATCACAATCACTGTAACTGTTTCTAACACATAATGGGCCTTACCTATGCACTATGCCGAAATTGTTTATATCTTTTTTCACCATTGTTTATGCACTTTATCTCTGTCTTTTAGTTTGTTTTACTGTATTTCCAACAGTTACTGATGACGTAACTGTTCTCTGTTAGAATTTTAAAACGCTGAAATTTGGCAAGTTTTGAAGTGCCTTATCTTTGTTATTTTATTTTGGACAAGGGTTCTTGAGGTTTTAAAACATCAGGGCCCAGACCTAAGGGAGGCCTGGACTCAAACCCCAGGGCAGGGCAACTAAAAATATTGTGGGACTGCTTGAAGTGCCCCAAAGACCCCAGACAACTAAATTTATTCTACTCTACCACAAAGTGCACTAAATGGCAGTGGGTATCCAAGTTTAGCGATCACTTCGTACCATCTAGCGGCTTCTAAACTCGCAATTCACTAAACTCGAGATATGTAATGACCATGTTTCAATCCCAGCCCAATGGCTTTTTTTTTTTTTTCTTTTTTTTTTATACAATTTCAGCCCATCTATAGCCACAATTGTGCTACAATTGCACAAAACTTCTTTATCTGCTATTTCTTCGCTCTCACACCCCATATTGTAGACTCATTCACTACAAATATATCTTAGCCACTGCAGTAGGACCCATACCACGTTCAAGTTTATCCAAAGTCTCTCCTTTCTCCTTGAGACTAAGCAGCAGCTTCTTACCAAGACATTCTGGTTGGCTTCGTTTCCCACTTATAGGTCATTTTTCACTCCCACTGGGTCCTGGTTGTGTGTCAGCTATCCCGAAGTTACACAGTAGGGGGAAAAGCGATCACTAACTCATACAGTGTGCATGACTAACTGGTGAGAGATTAAAAACAATGGCTGCATAATATCATGAGTGTAAGCACACGGCCTCTACATCAGCTCGATGCGCTAATCTAGTGAGGAATGGCACTAAACTCGGCACAAATGCTTAAAAAAAAAAGCTGAAAACAATTGCAGGTGCCTGGGCCAGTGTAAGTAGTAAGAAATTTTAGGGTAGAGAAAAAGCCTTCTAACCACGTCAGGAAGGCCAAGAAACAGCTGCCCTTTAGCAGGAGTGTGGGTCACCAAGAAACAGCTGCCCTCCAGCAGGAGTGTGGGTCACTCACAATACCCATATGACGAACAGCTGTTTTACTTTTATCCTCTTTGCCACTGATCGGCTCGTTGGCCACTTGGGCAGGCGGTCACGTCTCTGTTACACACTGTTGGCATGCACTGGCTCCTGAATGTATCTCTACCTGCCCCAGTGTTGGTCAAGTCCGGTCTTGAAGGAGCTCACACTCAGTGCCGTCACAACATTATCTGGCAAGTTGTCCCATGAGGATGTCTGCACTATTCAAGGTCATCAACACAATTTAGCTGGTTCTAAGAGTTTTTCAGGTTGTCGAGGTACAGTCTGGGGTCAAGTGATTTAGCTGATTGGGAAGGTATGTTCCTGCTGTTCTAATCACCAATTGGATATTGTCGTCAGGAGTGTTGGCTGCTGTCTGGCAAATATCCATCAGAATGGCTATTCGAGTAGCACACTGTTTTATACCCCAAGAGTTAGTTGGGATTTTCATGGACATGTTTATCGATTTCAGTCACTGTACGAGTACACATCATGCTTTGAAAATTTGTGCTACGGATCTACATTAATTACTTAAGGTTAATGTTAATCTAATCAGTGTTTGAGCTTGCAATGCAACAATTATATTGGTTACAAGTACATAAGGTGGCATGCACTTCTGAACAGAGTCAGTGAAAATCAACAGAAGCCTATTCATGGGGATAGGATTACATTTCAGAATTTTAGAACGTTTCCAGCTCAGGAACAATGTAATAGATTTTGGAGTCCATAAAGAGGCAGGCGGAGGGAACAGAGTAGGATAACACACGATAAGATGCAGTTTAAGAATATTTGTACAGAGGTTCTGAAGATGCCATCAACCCCCCAGGATGTGAGGAGGCTGGGACAAAAGCAGGGGATAAGCCTCGCCCCCTCAGGATCACACTAGTGAGGTAGGAGGAGAAATGGGAGGTTATTCGGCAGGCAAAAAACTTGGCAAGGAGCAAGGCATTTC